CCCCCCCCCCCCGCTGCCACGCGACAAACAGGGCGAGAAGCCATCGACGGGTTCTCTGGCCGGACACGCACTCAAGCATATATCTTCCTGGTGTATCAAGAACGCCCGGAACCTGGTATAACAGAGGCACCGCCGCTTCGACATTATACCAGAGTTGTTCATGGACAGCAAGCTACAGTACGTAGTTGCGCGTACTTTTTCAGACGTACGGGGGGCCACCAAGGAGCTCCCTTATAAAGACTTGCAGAGTTTGACGCAGAAAGTGCCGGATTTGAGAGAGTGGGAACACATTGAGACGAAGGGGGTTGAGCTAGTGACGTTCTGAATCGCGTCGCTCACAAGGATCAAGGAGGATTGGGATGTTGGTAAGGCAAAGAGAGCTAGAGAGACGGATGCCAAAACGCGTGAAGCACGTGAGACACAGACTCGCAACGCTACAGTTGTTGATGCGAGCCGGAAGCGGGCGGCAGCGGGTGGAGAGCATCAGTATCCTGCAAGTAGAAGAGCTACCGGGTTGTGAATATATATATATTATTATTATTATTATTCATACTCCGCTGTGCCCTAGGGCGTGCCGGACCCTCAGCTATTTATTGTACAGGAAAACCGCGCCCTCACGGACCGGATTAAAAAAACCCATACCGACTATTAAGGAAAAAACGTGTGTGTGAACCTGAGAATACAAGGAGAGGAGGCCTCCTGGCCTCCGAAGGTGGGAAAGTTGTTAGGCCGCCGCTTCCAGCTCGAGCCTCCTTGCCAAACTGTACATCGGCAGCCTCCCTGAGTCCATCAGCCAGCCCAGGACCCTCCTCGTGAGCCGTGCCATTGCAGGATCAATACCGTGTAGAACAGAGTAAAAGTCCCGTCGCGTTCCAATTTCGGTTCTCTCCCATCTTCGAGTCAGCGGTGGATTCTGAATATATATCTATCATGTCTTGGCGTTGTAATTGCTTGCCCCTAAGCCCTGGCTCTATATCATAAATGTGATCGTTATATGATGTGAATAAAGTAAAGGTATAAGAGCGACAGTATCAAGATTAATATCTTACAACAACAGCGTTAAACGCGTTAGAATGCTATGCCCAAGTCATCCAAGCCATCCGCCCAGAGATCATCGTCAACGTTAAACAACCGCTCTCCTTCGCCCGCCCAGTCAATCTCAATCTCGCCCAGCCCACTGCCAACTCCCGGAAGACTTCGTTGATCTGCAGCATCTTTTGGCTCTGGAATAACGTCGTTGAAGTCATCCAATTTCTTCAGAAGATTCTGCTGACCTTTTACCCGTAGATCAGGTGCATCGAAGGCGTCGGGGCGACCCTCAGAAGCCCGGCGTGGCATCCCATCCTTATACAGCTTGCAAGCATAAGATATGATATCAGTCGCAGGGTCGCCAGCCGCATGCGCGCCTTTCTGTTGCCTGCCAAAGACTCTCTCAACCGACCGGCGAATTGTAACCAGATATGCGCCATTGACGGCTAGCCGGCTGAAGGTTGCCTCGATATCATGCGTCGAGTTCCGATTCGTCTTGATGTCATGAGCATATCCAGCGTGGATATGCTCCTGCATAAGACCAATGGCCTTGTACATACTACCAGCAGTAGTACAGCGAACTAGACCGCCCTTCAGAATCGCATTGCGGGTAACTTCATCCTTGCTGACATTTGGATGCAAAGGCCAGGCAAAATACAGCATCTCAGGGCCGTAGTTGGTGCCGCGGCTGCCCCAGAAGAGGACTGGAAGCATGGTAATGATGTCCTTGACCAGGCCGTAATCCCCTTGACGGACTGCTTTCATGGATGATAAGCAGGACCTCCACACACTGCAGTAGCCGGCAGTGACTGCGAAACTCGATATCAATTTTCGCATCTTCGTCGGGGTTCATAAAATTGTCGTGTCTGCCGGTCCAGCCATTGTACGTGAAGCAGGTTTTCCAGATCTCCTTCAGAATACGCTTGAGGCGTTTTCAGTCGAGGGCTTGCAAGGCACGCTTAACCTTGTCGACGGTTAAGTCAGCGGTATCAACGAACTCAATCTCCTCTTCATCAACGAGCGTTTGTATCACCATGGCGACGATTCTTGCGGTGTATCCATGTATCAGAAGAGGTAGGACCTGGTGATACTTAATGTCTTGCTTGTTGATGTGGCGGCTGCGCTGGAAGAATTGTACGTCGGCGGAAATAGTCGCACTTGACCGGCCCTTCCCACCAGTGTCCCAGAAGACCCGGAAAAGATGTAATTGAGCTCTTCGTGAAGCCGGTAAACACCAGCAATGGTGCCTTCATCCTCAAAAATAGCTCCAATCTGGAGGCAGGGCGAATCCTTATAGTTGACCCTCTTGACAATGGGCATGGCGGGAGTCTCCTCGCCGTCTTGGTTGAATATTTTCAAGAAGGCGTGCCCCATCAGTCACTTGGACGCTTTGTCGAAGGTCTTGCGTCTTGGAAGAAGGTATTTGACAACCATCTCGCGGGTGAATGGTTGTGTCAGGTGGTCGAGTGAAGACTGCATGAGAGGGCCGTTGAGCTCGGGACAGCCGACAAGAGAAGCGGTGGTAAGATTAATCATCGATGCCTTTTTACCGCCGACAAGCTCGCGAACGTTACTCTTGAGATTGAAGTTGTCGTATACAACGACACCGTTGGGGTCATGTGCCGCCTTCTTCAAATTATCCTTGGCCTGCTCCGCCATGTCGTTGAGCAGTTCGTTGAGTACGGTGTATGAAGAGATGATTCCCATCATCGAGAACGTGTCAATGACGCGACGGGGTGTACCGTTGGCTAACATATAAAGGCCGAGAACTTTCCTCAAGAAGGCACTGTTGTTGCGTGCGAAGCCTCTCATTACAAGCGAAGCCAGGAGACAGATCTGACTGCTGTTATTGTCGCCGACATTGATGCTCTCGAGATTCTTGTGCGGAATAACCTATCTCTGTTAGATATTGTATTTAAATAGCCAACCACAATTATCAATAACTACCTGATTCTGCAGCAACTGAGAAAAGAGGGCAACCATCTTGGGGGTTTTGGCTTGAAGGGTTGGCCAAATCTGCTCCAGTATCCTCCAACTAAGAGGTGCTACACATCTCGGTAATGGTGGCAGCATCATCGCCTTGATGGGCATAAGGCTTGAAGTCATTGAACGGGTCTGTAGTCAAGAGCACCTTCATTTCCCTGCGGACTGTAGCGGAGTGAAATACATCGCCAGCTTCTTCGGAGTCGGTGATCTTGATGCCCGTCGGTTCCAATGCATCCTTGATACGGGGATCTCTCAATGCCGCAGCCAGGCGCAGTGCCCCCCCCCCCCCCCCTTTGCTTGACCACTGATACAATGTCTCAACCTGTATGTTTTTGATGATCTGTCCTCTGTTTACAGCCCTCCTGTTCTTACAGCGAAGCTTCTGCCACTCAGCGACTGTGCCCGGGATGATGTCGTCAGGAAACTCCTCATCCGTAACGGGCTCAGAAGCAGCCAAATCTTTGTCGTAAGTCGCAGCTTCAGTAGCTGGCGGCGAGGGAGATATCGCTAGCTCAGAGAGCCCAGAGGATAGTTGTTGTAGTAGGGGAGGGAGATGTACCGCCTGTGCTCGGCTGGGACCGCTGGCATCGTCACTCGAATTGCCAGAAGACGCCATAACTATAAGGTATATTAGTAGCATAAAATAGCGTATTAAACAGTGATTCGAATGGCACAAAACGCACTAATTTAATGTTATTTTCGTGGTGAAATCGTCGTCGGCGCAAAGAGGTCCGCATTCGCGATCGTCACTTGGGTGGGCAGGCCGATCCGCGACTCAGACCAGCTGGGTGGGTTGGTTACAGTGGGTCATTTCAAATTATTTGATTGGTGAGTTCTGGCCACTGTAGAGCTAAGCTCGATTAAGTAAGTCCCCGTAATGCCAACCCCCAAAGCTGGGCTGAATTTCTGAGATAAGGCCTTCACTGCTTCCGGGCACCACCGTACCCAGGCCGGGTGCTTCCCTAAGCAGCACGGACAAAAGTATGGAATCTCGTTGCCGTAGGTTGGGCATTGGGCTGCCCTCGCCCTCCCGCCTCCCCCATGGGCCGCTGTGCCGCAGCGCGGGCACAGCGCAGGGTAGGAGGTTATAGTGGATTTCCATGCTATTTTGACTATCTAGAGGATATTCTATTCTTAAATACTATAGTTCTCCATACGTATTAAGTTCTTAGGAAAAATAGGAAGAGAGATAGGGGAGAGGTTTTCCTAGAGGTACAGTGGGGATCCAAAAGTATCCGGCCACCCCGCTTTCATTAAACGCGAAACGCGTCTCGCGGTTTCCTACCCTTAGCTTTTGAACCACGACAATTCAACAAGATGAAGCTCAATTTGGCCGATTTTGCTGCTGAATTGACTGCCGGACGCGGGAGATTACAGGAGCTTTCTCCAGGCGCGCGTGCAGCCATTTGCACACTTGTTGCGGCCGGGCAGAGCGAACGCGCCGTTTCTCGCCTCTTTCGCGTATCCCGCGATACCGTCGCCCGCTGTGTTGAGCACTGGAAAACTCACCGAACGTTTGATTCGCGACCCCGGAAGGGCCGGCCGCCGGTTCTAACTCAAAGGGAGAAACGGTATATCGTTTTACTTGTCAAAAAAAACCGAACCATTGCGAAAAAAGCGCTTGTTAACGTAACTGGCAAGATTGTCTCCTATTCTACCATCCGCCGCTGCCTCCGGTCACACCACATCCGCAAATGGAGAGCTATGAAGAGGATTCCTTTGACCAAAGAAGTGGCAAAGGATAGGTAGGATTTTGCATGCGATTGGCTTGAGAATATCGACGAGTTCCTTCAGGTTAGTGGTGTTGAACTTACCTCCTATTTCTTACCCCGCTAATCGTTTCAGACGATGTTCTCAGACGAGTGTTCCTGTCAGAATAACACTTTAAATTCGACTAGCTGGGTGTTCCGATTTCCGTCCGAGAAGTTCGATAAGCGTTTCGTCAACCTCCAGAACCATGTGAAAGCGAACATCTCGATCATGCTTTGGGGAATAGCCTGGAAAGGGGGGAGAAGTGACCTCATCGTGATGGAGCGCGACGAAGATGCCCCGAGGCGAGGATACACTGCGAGATCTTACCAGAAGGCGCTCCAAGAAGGTCTCCTGCCTCATTACAACGATACCCGGCATTTCCAACAAGATAACGCAAAGATTCACGTCTGTAAGGCAACGGAGGAGTGGCTCCAGAGGCGGGGGATTTCGTGGATCGAATGGCCTGCACACAGTCCGGATCTGAATCCGATTGAGCACGTTTGGGCAGCTCTGAAGAAAAACCTGCGAACGTTATTCCCAGAGCTATGGTCCCTGAAGCAGAACTGCGTAGATATAGCAAAGTTCAAAGAGTGCTTGAATACGGCGTGGGAGGCTATCCCACAGTCGTTCATCGACAAGCTGATCGAGGGAATGCCACGCCGGCTAGCCGCTGTCAAAAAAGCGAGGGGGTGGTATACAAAATATTAAAGTTTTTAAACAGGGCTCTTAACAACATCTATTGGTTATGCGTCATGATTTGGTGATGTTGAGATATTGCTGTTAAAGCCTCCAAGATATAATGTAGGTGGCTGGGAAAAAGCGGGGTGGCCGGATACTTTTGGATCCCCACTGTATCGTTTAATCTACCTACCTAAAGTCCAGATAGGTTTCCCTAAGTAGATCGATTATAAATTCTATAGGTTATAGTTTCTTTACTACTTCTTTTACTTATACTATTTACCTTATACACCTTCTCTAGGATATATCTATATCGGTATATCTGGGGGTGTCTTTAAGGATGAGTTTTGCTATCCGTGCTGTGTCCCACTTTTCTGGCCAATAAGACCACGTAGAACCAGAACCGTATGTACAGTTTGCAACAATTAACTTTCAATTTTGGGGTTTATTGCGGCAGTCGAGCTTGATGTTAAAAACCGCGACAAGGAGGCTGCCGAGAACAAGGCGATCCAGAACCTCAACGATAGAACCCGCGCCAATGAGATGCTCAACCGCGGCCAGCAGCCCCCAGAGATTCCTCATACCCTAACTGGCTTCTGTCAGCTATGGGCTTACGTTATCTACGCCAACACAGAGGCTCCCACTAGCTAGGTGCGCGGGTCCGCGCGGATTACGTAATTCCAAATGCTGATGTAATCGCTGAATATGCATCTAACAGAACAGTGCCCCGCGCCTCCATCAACGCCAACACCACTTCCACCTCCACTCCTACCTCCACCACCGATACCACCGCCGCCGCGATGGCCACCTCTTTTGCAGACGACTGCCTCCCTCCTGAGAATATTTACGACTCTCGAAACGCCTTGTTTGAAGCAATCAATGCATGGGCTATAACGAGAGGTTACGCCTTCACGACTGGAAAGTCGACCACCGAGAAGAGCGGGAGAATGACAGTTACATACGCCTGCGACCGAGGCCGCCGGCCCCCCGAGGCATCAAGCAGTCGCCAGAGAAGAACTAGTAGTCGAGTGACCAGCTGCCCCTTCTCGGTCCTAGCTAAAGAGTCGTCCGATGGTACAGTAGTTGGGTTCTTAAACACCGCCCCGATTCTCGATTCTCGGTACATAACCATGAACCAAGCCAATACCCAGTCGCGCATCCAGTTCATCGACAACTCTCTGGAGGCACTTCACAACTTGCAGACTTCTCGAACGCTGGTCTCGCACCGAAAGAGATTCAGACCCTTGTACGACAAAGTGGCTCGCTAGCTACCCGGCAAGATATCTACAACCGGATCGCGGATGTACGTCGAGATGCTTGTGAAGGCCAGAGCCCGATTCATGCGCTAGCCAACCAACTCGAGAAGGAGGGCTTTTGGAGTCGAATCCAGTTTACACCAGATGGCCGTGTCACAGCAGTTCTCTTCGCGCATCCCGACTCCCTTGCTTACCTTCAAGCTTACCCTGAGCTACTACTTCTTGACTGTACATACAAGACGAATAAGTACGGCATGCCTCTCCTTGATATGATTGGCGTTGATGCAGCACAACGGTCTTTCTGTATTGCATTTGCATTCCTGAGCGGCGAGACAGAGGAAGACTACACTTGGGCTCTCGAGCAGTTAAAGTCACTGTACGAGCAATGCAATACTACTCTCCCATCTGTAATTCTTACGGACCGCTGTCTTGCAGCCATGAATGCAGCTTCAGCGCTCTTCCCTTCAGCTGCAACGCTCATCTGCATCTGGCATGCGAACAAGGCAGTCCTTGCCCGATGCCAACCAGCATTCCCGGAGGCTGAGAAGTGGAAAGAATTCTACGACTCTTGGCATTCAATCATTAGTTCGCCAACAGAAGAGGAGTATGCCAACCGGCTTGCACAATTTCAACAGAAATACGCTGTTGAACACCCCAACCAGGTCGGGTATATCAAGACCACGTGGCTTATCCCATTCAAGGAGAAGCTTGTACGCGCTTGGGTCGACCAGTCGACTCATTTTGGCAATACAGCTACCTCACGAGTAGAAGGGATCCACGCCCTCCTCAAGTCATACTTGAGGAGATCGACATTCAACCTCTTCGAGGCTTAGAAGGCAATCCGACTTGCTCTCCAGAACCAGCTCGCCGAGTTACAAGCATGCCAGGCAAGGCAACAGACTCGGACTCCGCTTGAGCTTTCTGGGGCATTGTATGGAGTCGTACGAGGATGGGTGTCACACGAGGCGTTAAGGAAGGTCGAGGAGCAACGGAAGCTACTTGCAGAGACAGACCGTCCTCGATCCCTAACTTGCACAGGTACTTTTACTCGTGTCTACGGGCTCCCATGCTCGCATGCACTTGATGCTCTCCAAGGCGAGCCTCTTCTTCTCAACCACTTCCATTCACATTGGCATTTAAAGCGCAAGGGAACCCCACAGCTACTCCTTGAGCCTCGCCAGCGCATTGAGCCAATTCGGGCTCAAAGCTCACTCCCCAAATCAAGTACAAAGCGGGAGCCGAGTCAGTTTGAGGCAGTTGAGGCCCAGGTCCAGGCACTTGAGCCCCGTCGGGCTCCAAGCAAGTGTACGAAGTGCCATGCAGTTGGCCATATAAGGACCTCAAGGGCATGCCCTCTGCGGTATTCAGATGTATTGTAATTAGTTCTGGCAATGGCGTTGATGGAGGCGCGGGGCACTGTTCTGTTAGATACATATTTAGCAATTAGTTAGTTAACTTACATGCATTTGGAATTACGTAATCCGCGCGGACCCGCGCACCTAGTGGGAGCCCAACACAGAGGAGGACTTTGATGCCGCGTGGGCACGCTTGCAGCAGGAATTCTCTGACCAACAGCTCAATTACATCTCTAATATTTACCTTCCTGTGCGTCATCAGTGGGCCAACTGCTTTACCTCGCAGTATGATAACTTCGGCGTACGGACCAATTCACCCACCGAGACTGCCCATAAGGATCTGAAGTCCTACGTTATCACTGGTGGCTCTGACCTTTCAATAGGGCTCGTTGAGATCTCTTGTCTTCAGCAGGGCCGCCAGGCCCTTTCCACTTCCGTTTGACATTGAGGCTGACGTTCTGGTTAATGTGGAAGATGCAGAGTTGAAGTTGAGTGTCAGGCCAGATGTCCATAACGGATGACCGTAAGGCATCTTCAAAGTCAGTAATCGCGACCTTAGGACGCTCGGCGTAGATTTCGGCCCGAATCGATTCGATAGACTCAAGGAGAAAATTGTAGCCGTTGCAGCGTTCAGTTGACACGAGACCGAAGGCACAGTTATATAAGGAGCCAATATCTGTTGTGCCAGTAACCTGGAAGAGCGGCATCTTGAAGCGGTTGGTCTTGTAGGTGTTGTCTAAGCCGATGACCTCTGGAAATCTCTTCCACATACTTTCACACCACGGGTAAGTCCAGACGAAGGCAACAGGACGGGTAGGGTCCTCTTCGGCCCACTGGATGCGATGCTTGTAGCCCATGTCGATAAGGATGCTGATGAACTGTTGGACAGCGGTCCTACCGCTAAGCGCAGTGTGACGTAGGCGCTGGCGGGCGTTGTCGATGTCTTCTTGTTTGACGAGAGACCCAGGCACAGCATCTCTAACGATGAAAGCTGCCTCACGTGATCGGATGGCCTTATGCTTTGAGATGGTCTGGAGGAGATTCGTCTGCAAGAGGTAAATGGTGCAGCGAGAAAGAGGGAAGAAGTAGGGGGCTTGTACGAGTTAAAGGCAAAACGATTTCATCCGGATGTAGTTAGCGTGCTAAGGCCCTATAGACCCAGTGCCTCCGGGCGAAATAAATTCCATCCATCCATCCGGAGGTTCGTCTGGGTGGACGTCAACTTCCGGCGAAGCTTTTGTACGGATGGGTCGAGAGAGGGTGAGTGGTTATGGGAAGGGTGTTTGAGCTGAAAGGTCCAGCGCCAGTCATCAGAAAGACGGGCAGAGGCAACGCCATACTAAGGACAATCGTTCTTTGAGCTGCCTGTCTTGCGGTTGCCAAAACCTTCAGCCTTGCGAATAGCGTCACGGTCGCAGCAGATCTTGTAGCGCGTGAGTTTCTTTGGATCTTCCCGATAGTTGCCTCCGTTACGTCGGATGACAGCTAAACCAAGCCTCCGGGCGTGGGCCTGAAGATGAGCCTGAAGATCGTTAATCGTCGCGGCGAACTGACCCTTAATTCCTCCGTCTGGCGGGTTCGGTATGTCGTACGTTGGCTGCGGCGCCACAGCAGGATCAATGGCGAATCCATCGCGGCAAATTTCGGCGGCGGCGACGTGGTGGTGAAGTTAGAAGAAATCGGCGAAGTCGGCAATAGGAAGGCATGGGCAAGTTAACTGAGGGGTAGGAATGATCTGTTTATTCATTGGTTAGAAGAATGGGACACAGCCCGGGCAGCCAACTGACACAACCCGGCTAGCAAAACTCTTACGGATAACTTCTATTTTAAGCCTTCCTTCCTCCTTGGGGTATATAACCTCTAGTTACCTTAATTTGTTTTACCTATTAGCTTCTAGCTATTACTCTATCTAGTTGGAAGATTGTCTTAAAATAGTTAAGTATATCAGGTATATAGATTGGTACACTATCTAGAGTCTCTAGGGGTAAGTTTCACTTTTACTAAAGTACCTAATATAATATAGTCTATTTTATCGGAACTATTATTATTATTATTATTTCCTACACCGATATGCCCTGGGGCGCGCCGGTCCTTCTACTGCTATTTACAAAGGAAACCGTACCGTATAGGCCGGATAAAAACCTCTGTCTACCACTTTGAGACAACAATCTATGAATCCGTCATACTGCAAAAGAAAGGAGGCCCTTTGCCGGCCTCCGGGCCCTCTAGCCCTCCCCATCCACTGTTTCTAGCTCCAGCCTTCTGGCCAGCCTATACTCCAGTAGCCGGCCAGAGTCCATCAGCCAGCCAAGGACCTTCCTAACAAATCTTCTGCTCCGGGCACCTACTCCCCGTAATACGGTTTGTAGGTCCCGATGTGACCGAATCTCTCTGCCGTCCCACGGCCTTTGTAACGGCGGGTCGGGGCACCAAACCACCAAGTGCTCCACCGTCTCCCTGCCTCTCCCGCACTCGCAATAGGGGGTGCGGACCTCCGGGACTTTCACCCTGAACAGGTAGTCCCGGAGGCCTATATCCCCGATACGGGCCTGGGAAAGGAGGGAGCTCTGCGCCTTTGTAAGACCTTCGTGTCTCATCAGAGCTTTGTCGGTAAATAAGAGGGCTGGGGGGTCTTCGTCGGCTATCCTCCTGTTTAATACCCTCTGTCGAGTAGTACTTTGTTGACCAGCTCTCTGTTGTTCCCACCGGGCCTGCCAGGCCAGTTCGACCACCTCCTTGGTATTCGACCCATAACCTTCTAAATACCTATTGGCCTATTTCGAATATATATACTACTAATATAAGGTGCTAATTCTATAGGTTAATTATAGAGGATAACAATATGGATCTTCTAGAACCTAATACCGGATATCTACTAGGTATATCTAGACGATACTTATATCAAGGGGCTATAGTTAACTATTACTAACTAGAAGATAGGAAAGGGTTTAAGGTAATATATTGTTAAATACGTTTAACAGATATCCGCAATGTAGAAAATGAAAAAAAAAAAAAAGAGGAAAAAAGAACGTCCTTGAAATTTCGGCCCAAAAGCCTCAAAGCTAGCGTTGATCGAAGCTCTCGCAAAGCCCTATCTAGCCACACCACGTGCACCGACGCGCAATCCGCAGCGCGGCCGCAGTGGGCTTGGAAAGAAGGGCGATCCGGGACGCGCAGTCGCCCTGGAAATCTCTATCGCCAACGCACGGACCCACGAGCTACCCGACCCACACACAGTTACCCAGACGACCACGCCCCCCTGAACCCCTGAGTGGAGGCAAGATGGCCGGCCCTACTGCTCCAGCCCAAAGGGGAAGAAGTGAAGGAAGCCGTTAATGGAGCCGGGACCCAGGACAAAGGAACCTGGGCCGCAGTGGCCGCTCACAGGGCTGTCCCCCTTCAGTCACAACCCAACACCCCGACAAAGATAGTGCCGACCCGCATAAATAAGGAGATCCTAGTCAGAGGCAGAGGAATGCCTGCCGATCTCGCGAAGCGCACCCCGCAAGAAACCATCCAGGCGGTCAACCAAGTGTCAGTTAGGAGGGGAGCAGTCGCAGCCCGAAGGCTCCCCAGCGGCGACACAATCGTCACATTCTAGAGCGTAGGGGCAAGAGACTGGCACTCGACGAACACCAACTGAGTTAGGGAGGCTTTTGGAGAGCAGGCCGAAGAGAGCAAGCGAACCTTTGCAGTGCTGCTGAAAGGCGTGTGGAAGAAGAACCTCCAAGGGGTCACCGAGGAGGAGTTCGGGAAGGAAACTGGCCTCCACACAGTCGATAAAGTGAAGTTTAGGGCCTGACCCAGACGCACTCAGGATTACCGTAATCCTGAAAAAAGATACCTTCTGTCCCAGAAATTAGCGGCCTGGCCTGCAGAATTCGTCAATGTATCTGTGGGACCTGATGGAAACGAACTAAACCTGTTTGAAACGACCTCGGCATATTCCGTACCCTCCCAGGGCCAAACTGGCCTTTGCGAGAAGCCTGTACCAGTCCTGCATCCCGCCCAACTTTGTATGTAGCCGCCGACGCTATGGAGGTCGGTCAACTTATCAATCTGGCCGACGACGATGTTGATGGCCCTCGCGATGGCCAGATACCGGATTGCGAGGCTCAAGTTGATGGCGCCAGGGCATCTGAACCCGCCAGCCACCCTGTCAGGTCGTGGCAAGAAAACGAAGACATCGCTAACTTAACCGCCAATCTGTTTAACGATAACGATGACCTCCATTACGTATCTTCGCGCTACTATTCGACCGATGACCTCTCCCAGCCACCAACTGAAGCCTCTGCGACTGAGGCTATCGCTACCCCATCGCCGTCGACGAGAAAGCGCCCCCGTCAGAAGTCCCTGGCAATCCGGCCAACGCAGAACAAAAGGAAAAAAACGGCGCCGAAGAAGGAAGACTGTAAGCTCGTCTTCTCGCGAGAGATAACTACCCGCGTAATGCAGCTCTTTCTTGACGAAACGAGGGCTGGCGCGCTTAAGGATACGAAGGCTTCTTTTCAGAAGCCGGCGATGGAGCGCATCCTCAAGGCGATGGAAGCCGAGTTCCCCCGGTTCACTTGGGCGGTTGATAAGGTCCGGGCGAAGTATAAGAACGAGCGCCGTAGATACCGCATGCTGTTGACGCTGTTGGCGATATCTGGCGTCAATTTCAGTCATGAGACTGGTCTACCGTCAGCGCCTGACAATGTGTGGAAATCATTTCTCAAAAAATACCCCAAGGCTAATTGGTTGCGCACAACCTCCATCGGTGACCGAGATGTGTATGCCGAGGTGTATCACAATGAGAAGGCGTCTGGCCGGCACATTAAGGAGGCGCGACAGCTTGTAGGACCAGGCCGGGTGCTTGACGATCCTGATATCGATGTCGATGACTTCTCTGCGGTGGAAGATTCGAGCGGCGATACCGACACTGATGACCCCGACGATAACACCGACGACGAAGATAATATCGAGGCTGTCGCAGCCCCCCGAACGCCAGTCCCCCGCGGCGCGGCGCGCCCCAGACGGTCTCGTGAGCCTGGTGTCATGGCCGTTGCTGATAGTATCGGGCGCCTTGCAGAGTCGAATACAACATCAACCACGAGGGTCGTAACTGAACTGGCAGGTGCGGATGATATTAGGATGGCGCTGAAGGACTTCCAGGAGGGCTTTGCTGGTTCGCTGGATGGTGATGGTATGTGTAAAGTAATTGACAAGCTTGCAACACCAACATGCGCGTTACTCTGGAACAATTTGTCGAAGGAGATGAAGGCAAAATATTCGAAGCGGTGGGCTGAAGAGTAGGGAGTTGTAAATAGTTGAGTTGGTGCCGTTTGGCGCCGTTTGTAGAAATATCAACAGTACCCCGCGCCAACCCCGCCATCGCCGCCATCGCCTTGACGAAGACCACGCCATCATCGCCCTCGCCGCTGGCGTTGTAGCTTACCAGTATTGGCGCAATATGCCTTCCAAGCGACCCGCGCCGCCAACAAACGGATCTTCTTCGATTCGCGCCCGCGGATCAGCTGTTCCGCGCGCGCCTTTGCCTTATCCATCACCTGTATCTCCTCCGGCGAGAGCTCTTGTGGTTCCTTTTGCGCAATTAGGAAGTTGTGCAACCCGGTGACCGCATATACAATCGCGGTCTGTTTCTTCAAGGAGTACTCTGGCGCGGTCCCCCGGATGATCTTCCAACGCCGCTTAAGAATTCCGAAAGCCTGCTCCACGACGTCACGGATGCGCGCATGCTGTAAGTTGTATAGTTCCTTTGCTGTTGCTGGCGGGTTTGATGCATTCCTCCAGTCCTCCAGATGGTATCTAACATTCGGGTACGGCACAGTTAAGCCCTGTCGGATTCCGAAACCCGCATCCGCGAGATAATATCGACCTTCGGGAACACGAAAGTCGCCGGCGAACGCAAGGTCACAGAGGGTAGCATCGTGGAGCGAACCCTCCGCACCCGCAAGCACATACGCGAACGAAAAGTCGCTCCTGGCCGCTGCAAACACGTTCTGCGAAATCTGGCTCTTACGATCCCGGTACCGAATCTGTCGCCTAGCCGGCACAAACGCGGTAATGTGCGTCCCGTCGATGGCGCCGATGCAACCATTGAATGCATTCAGCTTTTCGTCTAACTCGATCTTCGGGTCCAACCAGTCGTCGTCGTGTGGCCGTACAAAGTGCGTATGGAGGGACACAAGCCTAGGTAAGAGTGCCTTAACAAGACGGGAGACCGTACTCTGACCTAGCTCGAACCGGTGTGCGGCACTTCGTTGGTCGGCATTGTGGGCGAATATCCAGATAACTACCATGACCTTTAGTTCGGCTGATAGGAAGCGACCATCGCGAAGCCCAGTATTCTCCTTCAACCAGCCCACCAGTTTCCGGAAGACCGGCTGTTCCATACGAAAGAGCTCCCGGAACCGTATATGCGAGCCATCTAGCAAATCGTTGGCGATCCGCATCGGCGCCTCTGGACCACCACGATGGATGGAGTGTCGGATACCGTGCCGCCGTACTGCACCCAGGGTAGCGATGGCGCCCATTACCGCCGCATTGCAAAACGCCCTTCGCCGCTGTATGGCCGCCCGCGTTATACCGACTACATCCATCGCCACGGTCGGAAAACACCAAAAACGAGCGGCACATACAACCTCTCTTTTCCCTATTTCGGCATCTTACACGCAACGCGCCGCGCGACACGCCCGCGATTACAGGGGTTCTGCCGCCTCTGACCGCCTCCACCGCAGCCGTAATCCTGAGCTCGACATCGTAATCCCCAAAATCGGGGATTACGAAAAAGAGGGTTTGGAAGGCATTTTCGTGCCCCTGACTTGGCGATTAAGCCTTTTACAGGTAATCAAGCGAGCCCTTTAGTGTGGTACATTGAATCTTGGCAAAATTGGGATTACGAGCCACTGACCCCGAAGTACAGGCAAAATCCACTGCCCGGAAGGGAAAAGCGCCTCCATTTAACCTGTGCGCGGCATTTTTCGGTACTGGCAGGGGGGGGGGGCCGACACAGGATTACCGTAATCCTGTGCGTCTGGATCAGGCCCTTAGAGTGCCGAGACACAGGGAGGCGACCCCGGCAACGGTGCTGGTCGCTTCAACCTCCCAGGAGGAAGCACGCAAGGCGTGCGACGAGGGAGTGATCTGGAGGGCTCAACTACTGGACTGCGAGCCTTACTGGCCTGCCCTCAGTCCAACGCAGTGCTACAAGTGCTGGAAGTGGGGGCACACGCAGCACTATTGCAAGGCGACTCCATTGTGCCGGTGTTGCGGGACCAAAGCCCATGGAGAGGGCGGCAGGGAAGGCGAGGCCCAGTGCCCTACTCACAAAAAACGAAATTCCGCTACGGTGCCTGGCCTGCGGAGGAAGACATCCGGCGTGGTCAGGAGAGTGCCCGGAGAAGTCGAAGGTCCTCGCGAAGGCCAAGGAGGCCTACCAATTCCGACCACGGACATACGAGACCGCAACCACGATCTCTGCCATCGCGACTCACACGAGCGCCCCCACGTTCAGCTTCGGCGCTGAAGAGAGGGAGGACGACAGCTACCAGGTGGTAGGCAGGAAGAGGCTGAGAGGAAGACCGACGAATGTGGCTGCAGCCCAACGTCAGGCTCTCTTAGACCCCCAGCAGACCAGTATCAACTTCGAGACGCCGAGGGTGCGATTCGCAAGCCTGGTAGTCAGCGGTGTCGACACCACCGCCCTGCCGCCCCGAGCGCCCGAGCCGGCTACCGGACCAACGCCTACCGCCGCCGCCAACCCTGCGGTCACTGCCACTCCGAACCAACGCGACGCCGAGGGAGACACCACGATGGACTCAATTACCGTCGCAGGCGATGAAAATAAAAATTTTACTCTGGAACACCGAAGGAAACAAGCAAACACTGGAAGTCTTGCTGGAAGAGGCCAAATATGACCTCTTGGCGGTGCAAGAACCATGGATCAACAAGGCGACAAAATCCACATACTGCCCCCAGAGCAGCAGATACCACCTGGTACATAAGCTCGAGGGGCGGGCGGCAATATATGTAAGCAAAAGATTTGAAATCAGGCAGTGGGACTCCGAAGCCACGGAGAATTGGTGCCGCGTGTGGTTCCCAGAGGCGGACCTCGGAAGGGAAAGCCGCGGATTCGAGCTTTGGTCCGTATACAACCCCCCCCGCCGGCGAGAACGTACCGAGAGCCCTCCAAGGGCGGCCAAGGCCAAGCCACCCGGCGGTTTTGGCAGGAGACTTCAACCTAAAGAACCCACTGTGGGACGGGTTCGGACGCTACGACAGGAAATCTGAAGACCTATTGCAGCTGGGTTCCCTGTGGGACCTCACCATCAGGACTCCAAGGGGAGCGACAACGCGAGCTCCCCAGGGGCGACAGCGCGAGCTCCCCAGAGGCGACAGCGAGGCCGCCCGTCAACCATCGACCACTTCTGGACTTCGGAAAACCTCCAAACAGTATACTACGGGGAAGAGTGTCGTGGAAAGTCAGACCACTACCCACAAGTGCTCGAGGTCGGGGAAGGGCATGGGCCGAGGCCAACCCAACCGGATGGCTGGGCCTGGAAGAAGATGGACAGGGAGAGGGTGAAGACTGAATCAGAGTTGCTATGCAAGGTCATGGGGCTCGCGGACCCGGGACCGGACGGACTACCGGCCAAAACCTGAACAGTCGAGGGTCTTGACAAAGCTTTCGATAGCCTGGTCGAGTGGCTCACCTGGGTCGCGAAGGAAAGCACTCCACGGAAGAAGGCGAGCTGCGGCTACAGCTCCCCCTGGTGGACTGTGGAGGTGCAGCAGGCCGCCCGGGAGGCCAGAAGGGCCGAGAGGCTGGCGAAGGAGACCCGGGCAGGGTACTGCTGGGAGGAGCTTAGCGAAAGACTCAGGGACCTTTCCAGAACAACGCGCGAAGCACGGACGAGGGCTTGGAGGAACAACCTGCAGGAAGCAAGCGAGGCAAAGAAGCCCGATCAGATATGGAGCTTGGAAAGATGGGCTAGGCTACGGAGCTTTTTGCCGCCGGAACCACCGAGACTACCGGCATTTAAGGACTCGTCCGGGCAAGTAACGGCCGAAACGCACGACCAGAAAGCCAGCGCACTGGCCGAGGGGTTCTTCCCGGACCCACTGGCCAACCTAACGGACGTGGAAGACCAAGCCTTTCTAGGCGACTGGAACCGGGGATTCGACGTCTCACAGGCAGTGACGCCGACCGAGATCGCGAAAGCAATAGGAGGAGCAAGCCCCTGGAAGGCGTCAGGAGAGGATCTGCTCCCGATGGGTCTTCTGAAGGCATGTGGAATGCCACTGGCTGAAGTGCTCGCCGTATTGGCGACGAGGTGCCTGGAACTAGGATGGTTTCCCGACCGGTTCAAAAAGGCAAAGACCATAGTACTACCGAAGCCAGGGAAGGCGCCCCCAGTGTATCAGACCCCGGGAGGGTACAGGCCCATTGCGCTACTGCCAACCCTAGGGAAGGTAATAGAGTCAGTGGTCGCCAGGAAGGTCACTCAAGCTGCAGAAGTCAACGGCCTCCTACCAGATGAACAAATGGGGAACTGGGCACACCGCTCTACAGAGCTGGCTGTCCGGCTAGTAGTAGCCCAGGTCCAGGAGGCGTGGAGACAGAAGGGTGCGGCATCCCTATTGCAACTGGACATCTCAGGAGCCTTTGACACGGTCAACCATACCTGACTGCTAGCAACTTTGCGAGAACTGGGCTTCCCGAGGTGGCTGGTCCTCTGGACGAGAGATTGGTTGACCGGTCGAGAGGCCACCCTTCTTTTCGACGGCAAGATGGCGGCGCCGACGGCAATTCGGGCAGGGGTCCCCCAAGGCTCACACCTTTCTACTGTTCTCTTCATCCTCTACATTTCCTCATTATACAAGCAGCTAAAAGACGAGCACCCTCACTTGGCTATAACAGGGTTTGCGGATGACACCAACCTTCTAGTATTTGGTCGAAACCCCGAAGCCAATGGCCGGCAACTAGAGGCGGCGTGGGAAACGTGTATACGATGGGCGGACAGCCGGGGGATGAAGTTCGCCCCGGAAAAGAGCGAACTCATCCATTTCAACAAAGGGCGACGGCAGTGGACCGAACAGGTAAACCTTGCCAACCCAGGGGGAGGCACTAGCCCCGTTAAACCAGAAGAGTCTGCCAGGTTCCTGGGGGTCTGGTTGGACTGGAAACTCAACTGGAAGGCTCACCTGGTGGCGGTGGAGAAGAAGCTGAGGACCCAGAGCTATGCCCTGTCGAGAATCGTGGCAAAGACGCGGGGAATGGGGCTAGCCAAAGTGCGAGAAGTGTACACAAAGTGCATCCGGTCGGCGCTGGCCTATGGCGCATCATCGTTTTACATCCCCACGGATGTGGGAGGCGAGCCGGCAAAGAAAGGCATCACTAAGACCCTCGGGAAGGCCCAGAACAAGAGCTTGCGGATTGTGGCGGGAGCCTTTAAGTCTACCCCCATCCGTAACCTCGAGACAGAGGCATGGGTACCACCATTGGACTTGTACCTAAACAAACGGCTTGCAGATTTCGAAAACCGACTCCAACGACCCGACCTGGACGACGGTCAAGGCGGCAAGAAGACGGCGGCGAGCGTTGTCCTCACCGCCTGCCGCAAGATACAGCAGAGACTTAGCTCGGAGAGGGGCAACAGGAGCCGACCGCGAACCTTGGGACCTCAAGGGCCTACGGCGGTGGAGAGAGCCGCGGGCACGGTCATGCGCTGGACGGGGGGAATCGTTGATACGAACAGGGTAGTAGAAGAGGCTTGGAAAGCCAGGTGGTTAAAGGAACGGGACGGCAGGGCAATCGGCAGGCCGGCGGACGACTTTGACCATCAGGAGGAGACGTTATTCCCGAACGAAACCCTAAGGAGGCACGACGGTCTCAGCAAGGCGAAGAGCTCACTGCTGATTCAAATCCGGACGGGAGCAATAGGCTTACGGGACTTTTTGTTTACACGGGGAGTCCCGGAGGTTCTGACTCCTGCCTGCGAGTGTGGTGTTTGGCCCCACCGTTGACTCGAAGATGGGAGAGAACTGGAATTCGGACACGACGGGGCCTTTACTCTGTTCTACATGGCATCAATCCCACGACTGCATGGCTCGCGAGGAGAGTCCTCGACTGGCTGATGGACTCGGGGAAGCTGCCGATGTACAGCTTAGCCAGGAGGCTCGAGCTGGAAGCGGCGGCCCGAAGCGCCCCCGTTCGGAGGCCAGGAGGCGCCCTCTCTTTGTCTACGCAGACACACCAGAACGCACCGTTCCTTGATTGTTGGTATGGGTTTTTTCACCCGACCCGGAAGGGCACGGTTTTCCTGTACACTAAATAGCTGAGGGTCCGGCACGCCCTAGGGCATAGCGGAGTATGAATAATATAAATATAAATATAATAACTAACCTATAGTTAACTAACTAGTTATTCTATTTAGTTATTTATTATTTCCTACACCGATATGCCCGTGGGCGCGCCGGTCCTTCTACCGCTATTTGCAAAGGAAACCATACCCTATGGGCCGGACAAAAACCTCTGCCTACCCCCTCACGACTACAATGTATGAATTCATCTGACTACGAAAAGAAAGGAGGCCCTTTGCCGGCCTCCGGACTCTCTAGCCCTCTCCCTCCACTGTTTCTAGCTCTAGCCTTCTGGCTAGACTGTACTCCAGTAGCCGGCCAGAGTCCATCAGCCAGCCCAGGACCTTCTTAACAAGCCTAACGCTCCGGGCACCTACTCCCCGTAGTACGATTTGTAAGTCCCCATGTGACCGAATCTCCCGTTCCCACGGTCTCTGTAACGTTGGGTCAGGGCACCAAACCACCAAGTGCTCCACTGTCTCTGTGACGAACCTACTTCAGGACCCTGTCCTGTTAGGGTTCAGCTTTGGTTGAAGGTATCTCTCAAGGGTGCTTAGGTTCGGTGCAGCCAAAGGGTGCACAACAAAGGCTTGTCTCAACAGTAGGCTCTCGAGCTTGTAGCGAACTGTAGCTGTGATTGCTAACCGGAGAACTCCCAGAGCTCTCCAGAACGAGTGGCTATATACTATCTAGGATTCGAAGTATCTCCGTACTTTTCCTTATGGGACGCTAGGTGCTATGTTGTTATGTGCTATGTTCTGTCCTAGCACCATAGCACCTTGGCACCTTGCAGCTTGACTGATGTCCCTGTTCCTTGTCCTGACTGGTCCGCCTAGCGATTGGCTCGGGGCGTCCCGCGTCCCGAGTCCCACCTGTTTGGCATATTCGTGACAGTCTCCCTGCCTTCCCCGCACCCGCAGTAGGGGGTGCGGACCTCTGGGACCTTAACCCTGAACAGGTAGTCCTTAAGGCCTATATCCCCTATACGGGCCTGGGAAAGGAGGTACTCTGGGCCTTCGTAAGGCCCTCGTACCTCTGTAGGGCTTTTTTCGTGAAAAGGAGAGCTGGGGGGTCTTCATCGGCCATCCTTCTACCAACCCCCTCTTGCCTTGATCTCTGTTGCTCCCACGGGGCCTACCAGGCTAGTTCCATCACCTCGTTCGGTTTTCAACTTCTAAAGGATATAACTAAATTAAATATATGTTACGGTTATGGCCACATGCAGTGGCCATGCGGGACCGCGCTGGGAGTGGCCCGAGCCAATCATTAAAGATGGGGCACCAGCCAATGGGAAACGGATCATGTCGAGGAATTCACGATCCGTGGGATCGTGAAATGGATAAGACGATCCAGAGAACATAGGTACGAAGGTACCTATAGACGTAGATAGTATATAGTCACTCGTTCTGGAGAGCTCTGGTCGTTCTCCAGTTAGCAATCACAACTACAGTTCGCTACAAGCTCGAGAGCCTACTGTTGAGACAAGCCTTTGTTGTGCACCCTTTGGCTGCACCGAACCTAAGCACCCTTGAGAGATTACCTTCAACCAAAGCTGAACCCTAACAGGACAGGGTCCTGAAGTAGGTTCGTCACATCATAGTTCGAAGGCATCTGTCTAGCGTGGTAGGGTAGAGAGACTCTAGCTATGGCAACGCGAATGAAGGACACATAAAAACATTGGGACTCGCTAAATCACGCAGGCTGGATAAAAGCTCAACTCTTCTTGCTAATGCATTACCAGATCAGCGTGTAATAGGGTGTTAGCCAGTAAATTAAATCTACTATCGCCAGTGAAACACGACCGTTCCTCTCTATGTTTGGGTGTTGTTCACCATCTTACCTGGAGAGCTTTGAGGTTTAGTTTCTAGTTGAACTCCTGATAGTTTTCTCTTTATTTCCTCTACAATACCAATCACAATTCATCATTTCACTCGTGATCAATAGCTACCCTCCATGTAGTCAAGTAGAGGAGTTATAAGGCCGTCATCAGTGCACTGCTGCAGCGGCCATAGCTAACTTATACGAATTCATGTTCGATATTTGACGCTTGACATCGGGTATCGTGATATTAAAACAGCTCTTAACATGAGCTGAGCACATGACAGGAAAAGCAAGCAAAGCCAATTGAACATGCTCAACGAGGAAAGAATGAAAAAAGTCCAATCCTTAAGGAGTGATGCCACCCAACGAAACATTGCTCATAACCGCCCACATCCCTTGCAACAAGACATATCCCGCTCCTGCCACGGCCCACAGCCTGGACCGACTCTTGGTGGTTGGTGGCTTGGCGCCCAGCAAGATTACCGGCCGTGCTGGGGCCCAGACTCTTAGAAGCTGATGTCATCGCTGTTGACCCCACCAGCGAATCGACCGGGGTGCAGTTTCCGGAGAAAATGCCGACGGGCTCGCTTTTCGCCTGCTTTGATCTTGTCGGTGGACGCGCGTGGGAAAGTCGATCATCGGAACTTCATTCAGCATCGGCCGTCGGGAAATAGAGGGAGTCAGGCAAGAATCCCATGGCGAGGATCCTCTCAGTATCTGCAAATAATCCACAAGGCGTGGACGATACCAGGGAGGTACTAGGGACGGTGGTCAGCCTTGCATCACGCCGGATTCATGGAGGCCAGAATGGAACCTACCCCCAGAATGGTCAAGAGGATGTTGATTAGGAGGTCGGAGTTACACCCGCGCTCGAGGAAGACACCCAGCGGCGGGAGGATGACAGCAAAGATGATTTTGCAGATATCGCTAGTAGAAACAGTGAGCAGATCGGACTAGAGGGTGCCAGGGGTTTGCGCTGCGTGTTATGGGGGCTTACCTTGCGGTAAAAGGCATGTTGACGGTGTTTGTCGGATGTCGATATTCACTGTTTGGTTCTGCGGTTGATTCGGTCGATAAACTCGGAGGGTTGGAAGTAATCGCTAACTGGTGTGTGAAGAGGAGGAAGACGAGAGGCGGGTGCTGGTAGTGTCTTAAATATCTGCCTTGGGCGTGACACGTTGGACGACTGCCAAGGGCTGCTCCGTGGGCTTTCCAAGGTAGGGATGGCAAGTGTGTGCCGCATCCCGGATGGAGGCAGGCCAGATTACACCGGCCCAGGCTGGCAAAGACCCTGTTACGGGGACCCTGTTACGACGGTCACCACAACATCCTAGCATGTCTATTGGGAGTCGAGGACTGCGTCATACCACGGCATGCATGTTGCATGCGGCCAGCCATCCCTGGCTGCCCAGTTTCGAGGCTTGTTATTCCAAGCCTCCTGTGGCGGGGATGCCGACAGTTCACCGTGCCTAAGACGGGCGGGACTCGGATCTCAACGGCTGTCGGTCGGTTGTACGGCATTGTCAGGCCGCTTTGAAATGTAATACTGTATCGTAGTGTATTCATATTGTTTTAAGTTAGTGCAACTTGATGGACCTCGTACCAGACTGCCAGTTTCCGGTGGAGCCAACCAACAACTGCTCGTTTGCTTGCGTTACATGTTACACCCGGTACATTCCCGGCCTGTGCCGCCTCCCCTTTTACCGTCGCCGCATTAAACCTTGCCCACCCTGCGGCATTCGACATGTCTCTGTTTCTGTTGGCGCCGGCCAAGGTGTTTGGTGTTATGGCGCAGCAACTCGCGAGATCTGGGCAGCTTGGCGGTTGCAACTGTGTATTTTGTGACTGCCACATGCACAAGCTGCATGAGGCTGAGCACCCAGCCCCAAGTGACGTAACTGCGGTTCTCCAACTTCGATGACATCACCACGATGGTGGCTGACGATTGTGGCGTAAGCCGAGACGATGGACGCAAGCAAGGCAAGCAAGGCATGCAATATAATACACGAAGTACGTGCACAACTGACATTCCGGTTCAGCAAAAACGAACGAGAGCCATGGTTCCATCAACTGCACTTCCACGGTGCTTTTAACGCTGTATCGCTCAGCGGCTAACTTTACAGCTTGCCCATGGTTGAATGACGGGAGACCGGCGCATGTGTGATTCGCCTCTTCAAGAGAACATTATCTCCGGGCAGTAAAAAACGGCGAAGCTCAAATTCTGGTTACGTCCATACCTACCACCAATGCGGTGTGAAACCTTCGGTGACACACATTCTCGGGACTCGGCATAGGGCTTGGCACGGCCCCGCTCCGAGGGCTTCGGCTAACCTCAAAGCCCTAAATCCTGGGCCACAATTTTACGAACCCCCAGTAGAATTCTTCACCGCCCGGAACGAAAGATTTGTCGATATTTTAATATCGCGACAACATCCAACTAGGCGCAGGATATCAACCTCTTTGCGTCTCAGACAACCTACGGTCAATACCCGCCGACCCTTCCTGACAGAAATAATGGCTCCCATCGCGGTATGTCCCACCTGACGGCTTTGCTGTTGGCCCAGTCCCTCGGGCCACCGAGTCGGATCATGGCGTAAAGCAGTAGGCTAAGTCAATTCCTTCGGGATAACAGAAGAAGACCGGCGCCAAGAAGGGCCCCAAGGTGACGAAGAAGGTGAGTTCCCACAGCCGATTGTGCCTGTTTGCTGTTGTTGACAAGCTGCCCGCACAGTTCATCATCAACGCTTCGCAGCCTGCCAGCGACAAGATCTTCGATGTCTCGGCCTTTGAGAAGTTCCTGAACGAGAAGATCAAGGTTGAGGGCCGCGTCGGCAACCTCGGGGAGACCATCAAGATTTCGCAGCAGGGCGAGGGCAAGATCGAGATCATTGCTCACAACGAGCTCTCTGGCCGCTACCTCAAGTACCTGTATGTCCTCGCCGTACCCACCACTGACCTCAACAGCATAATGCTAACATTCGTCGTAGGACCAAGAAGTTCCTCAAGAAGATGCAGCTCCGTGACTGGCTCCGCGTCGTATCCACCTCCAAGGGTGTCTACGAGCTCAAGTTCTTCAATGTCGTCAACGACGAGGCCGAGGATGATGAGGAGTAAACGAGTCACCGTCAATTGGGAGTTCTGCGGGATCATCGGCAGGGATACTAAAAGGATACTAGACGGTTGTGCATAGCGGGGATGGGTCAATAAAAGACACAGTCGCTGGTGCTGCAGCGGGACGTCCGTGAAACCACTTTGATCCCCCCCTGGGTATAATAATCCTGCGTATGTGACGAGGGAGCCTTGCGTCCGTCTGCGCCATAGCAATTCATTCCGGCAACGACCGCATCGCCGCCTCAAACGCGACTAACGCCATTGCGTTGGCAGGAAACGCCCGTAGAAAACAGGGCAAGAAACCGCGCCAGTATCCCATAACCCCAGTCTCCCGGTAGACTGCCTTTGCAGCGTCTTTCCACCTCGGGAACCTCTTGATCCCGTCATTCAACCCGCCTCCCAGCGGATCTGTCATGATCCTCTGCTTGACCACATCACTCGGGTAGCTCATGATCCAAAACACCTGCGCGCTCAGCCCGCCCGCCCAGAAGTTAATCGCCGGCGCGCTCAGGGTCGTGCGCTGCCGCATCCAACAGGAGAACAAATCGTAGCTGCCCCACCAAAAGAAGAAGAAGCTCCTAAACAGTAAAGTTGCCTGCAAGCCGTGGTATACGCCCCTGATACCGTGGCTCGCCCACACCTTGCGCAGACAGTCCACGGGCCCACTATACAGGCGGTCGCGCTTGCGCGCGGCGTACTGAATCTGCAGGCGCGCTTTGACGTGTTCAACGGGTGCCGCTACGAAACTGACCGTTGCGCCCGCTAACACGCCGGCCATCCCGTGCCCGTAAGCCGGCAGCACCGCCGCGCTGTGGAACAGCTGCTCCCGCAACACCCGCCGGTACACTGATAGCGAGCCTAGCATCACACTATCCATAAACATCCATCCGACCAACGGCGGCGTCGCACCCTTGTAAAGCCCGACTAGTCCCTCGTGACGGAGAGTTTGCGTAAGACATTGGAGCGGGCCAGAGAAGCGTGTTGATGTGGTCGTTTGGAGCCGGACTTTGATCGTGTCGAAGGGGTGGCCGACTACAACGGGGTGGACGAGGCAAGTCAGCGCTGGTCGCAATGGCAAAGGGAGAGGTAGGTAAGAGAGTACCGGAAAGCTTTGCTATGCCCGAAAATACACCCGCTACAAAACCTTTGTAATTTTTATTAGACTCGGCTTGGGGTTGTGGTGGTTGCGTTGGCTCAGGTGCCGGGCCCGGGGGTTGCAGGGTTAGATTGGCCGCCATTGGAGCTGGTCCGCGGGTCTGGTGTGAGGGCAGGATGGAAGAAGCGGTTCGGTCCAATAGCGGCTTGGAGGTGTACGTTTAAGGGGATGCGTAAACGTCTTATGTAGGAGCCATTTTGTCGATGCGTCGGTTGCGCGGTAGGGAAATTCGAATATTCCAGGCCCACAGCTGCGGTATCGGACCAAGGGACAGCTCGGGGTTATTTGGGCCGATCTGGGACCACATGGTGCTGAGCGAACATTGAATGTTGTGTATTACGTTTACCTACCCACCTTTGCCACCTTAGCTCAAAGCCTTCCTTGTGATCTGTAGAAAAGGCGTATTTTATACCGTTTACATATGTGGTAACTCAGGCTGCCGGTACCAGGTTCATTGTATTTCCCTCGCTCGAGCTCTCTCGACTTCGTGATAGCGAGTATCGGAGATGTTGTCAGGCAGTCGGACAACAAATCATGACGCGAGCTTTCCGTACATGTTATGACATGGGCTGAGGGTTTTGCGGGCTCGTATATTTTCCCATGTGGCCCGGAACGATGATATTATCCCCAATTGTATGGCTCAGCTGCCCGGTTGGCACATGCCCTCTATCTTAGTGTATCAGGGGTATCATATATCATATCATACCAAATTTTCCTCCCGCCCCTACAACTCAAGCCTCCGCCTCAGGTATTCCAACAATGCTCTCAAAAACTTTTCCCCCAAACCAACGTCCCACCCACAACCCGTCCAAAAATATATCCCCCGTAAAGGCCACACAGAATCGTAACCGGCCACCGCTGCCACTCGCGGTCCCAATCTAGTGGGATCGGTACGGCCCCAAGCCAAGCTCCCACCACGCCTCCAAGCAGTCCACCAAAGGTCTCGTCGAGGGGGGCGCCAAAGCTGCCCACAACCGCCCAGGCACTCCCATCCACGCCGTGCACGAAGAACAGCGGGAAGAGCGCCAACACGGCGAGGTGCGCCGCACATAGGAAGGTATGCGCGCTGTGAGTGAGAAAGGGCGCGCCGAACAAGATCATGGCCACGTATAGAAAGGGCGACACGAGGAGCGAGAGAACTAGCGAGAGGAGCGAAGTCTGTTCCGTCCCCCATCACCACCAGCATTAGCACACATTCGGAACGAAAGCTTCGAAAGCAATACGCAATGAGGGGGGAGACGGCGCAACATACGGCAACGGCATTCGGCGTACCCGCGTCTGCGCCCCTCTTCTTGATACTCTCGCCAGGCCTGGGTTTCTGGGCCTTCCGCGCCCCGCCGCCGCCGCCTTGAGTTGAGCCCGGGGCGGGTAAGCACAGTATAGCGTAGGCGACCTGCAGAGCGGCGACCAGAGGGAGGGCGGTGGCCATGGCGGAGGAGGGGTCGGCAACGAGTGCGCGGAAGCGTGCGCCGAAAAGGACGGCCAGCAGCGCGGGCAGCGCGTGGCGCGCGGCCTGGGCGAGGGGTGTTGATCGAATCTGTACTGGGCGGAGCATCGTGACGGGAAAAACCGGTGCCGTCTTGGAAAAAGCTGCTTGCGCTTGCGCCCGCGCGGCGGCACCTTTTGCGAGAGTGGTCGACATTGTTATCGGTTCGACGAGGGGCATTAGGTAGGTGTGGTTGAAGGGGGATTGAGGATAGGGAACGACCCAGGTAATTAAAGTTCACAGGCTCGGCATATTCGGCATTGGACCCTAACCCTGGATGACTTGGGCCAGGGAGAGGTTCGTTGTCGGCCTGTTCGCGACACGCGCAAGCATAGATAATCCATTATGTCAAACATAAACTTAAGGCTCCAGCCCATCGTCATATCTTCACTGCGGCTCCTGCGCCGGGATGAGATTCCGTAGCGATAGGTCGTAGACCACATCCTCGACCTTCTTGACGGCATACTTGATTGAGTCCACCCGCTTCCTCAAGACGTCGTTCTTCAAGTTCAGCACCTGAAATCCAGCATGTAAGTCCTTGATAAATCCGCTGATCTGCACGGCCATGGAATTGTCGCCTAGCGTGACCGAGTTGACCGCCAGCCGACTCAAGTCGTCGATAACCGTAATTAGCCCGAGTAGGTACTCCTCGATTGTGATATGAAAGGCATCGCGGTCCTTCAGGTTGACGGGAACTATTAGAAGTCAGTCGCCGCGCTGGGTTATGATGTATAATGAGAAGGAAATGAACCATTGAAAGCCCGCCCAATGTCCTCCGGCGTCAACAGGCGGCCAATCTCGCCAGGCTTGAAGTCGGTCGACATACCGCCCAACCAGGCACAAATTATGACGGTGGCGACGGCATCCTGAACCATGCGGGTCCACTTGTGGTTGTATCTACAAAGGTGTTGTTAATATGTAATAAACCCTCGCGATCGGGACCGGGTGAAGTTAACTTGTAATACGGAAACTGTGACGCAAACGTCGACAGCTTGCCGACTGTCTCGATCTCCTTCTGGATACCGCCCTCGATTTGGCTCAGCAGGGTTGAATCTGATTCACTGTGAATCAACAATCCATTAAAATTATAGCTAAAACAACAGTACTGACATTTGGACCGCGGCGTCGAGTGTATCCGGGAAAGCACGCCCTGGGTGAAGGAGACCTGCTGGTTTAGGTCATCAAGAATCTGGTCTAGTTCCTTCCGGATGTTAGTATCCTCCTCAATTTTGGTCTTGAGCTCATCGAAGAGCGCGGGGTCGATCATGGGAGGCGCCATCTCGAATGCTATTCTGGATGGGTGGATGTTTGTTTGTCGCCCGAGCCTGATGATGTTTGCGGGGTGGAGCTCTGTAGCTAACGTCGATTTATTGGGGTCATTCTAGAATGTCAGTCGCAAACATGAGCTGCAAAGATCAGGCTCCCAGTCGCCATAGAACGATGCGAGGTGTCCTTCGGCTACTCCGCCGGAGATGCCTTTTCTTCTTTCGTTTTTTTTTTCACCCGGAAGGAGTAGTCATAACGCTTGCCATGTTCCTATTTGCGCTCCAATTCCTGCGTTGTAAACCCCAACCCTGTCCTCCCCTTATCCACTTCACTATCACCTGCCTCAGTTACAATCACAATTCCCAGAGGTACCGTTCGCGGTGTACAACAAGGGTAGATGAGTTGGCCAGTCCATATGTTATCTTGCCCTACCGTAAGATAGATTGAACACTTGAGTCATACATATCAAGTCATTGGCATTCTAGCATCAGGTTCTTGTGAAGAGGGGTGGGTTCATTCTGTCCGCTATCAAATACATCGTCACCACATGCATACTGGGCAATCCTATCGCTTTCCCATGTTAAACAAACAGCCAGCACCAAATAATATCGACCGCTTGGCCAATAGAAATAGAAACCTTGCATTTCAACAAAGCATCTCATCAGAGTATCCATCCACTACGCGCCCCGATATTTCCAGGTTGCTCTTCCCCACCCATAAACCATCATCGTCAACCATCATCATCATCATCATCATTATCATCCCCAAGTCGCCAAGAAAAGATCACACAACAGGACTGAACAAGAGAAGGTCATATCTTCATCACCCTCAACCTTCACCAACTGCTCACTCCAGTCCCAGCCTTTCTCACGTACTGCTCGTGAAGAACCGCTTGATAGCAGCCCTAATCCCGCTCTTCTCCTTCCCTTCCCTCTCCCGCTCCCGCTCGCGCTTCTCCTGTCTCTTAGCCCGATGGGCTTGCGACTCCGGATCGCCCCCACTTGCGGAAGATGACAGTCCGGTCACATCATCAGCATTGCTAGCGCTGACACCAACCGGCGCAGCCGGTACCTTGACCTTCTGCTCCGCCGTCGTCGGCCTCGCTCTTTCGAATTCTTTGTCCCTATCCCTATGTTCCCGACTTGATTTGGGCACAGCTTCTTCGTCATCCCGGGCGACCTTACGCAAGGAGCTGCTGCGATCCTCAGATCTGCGCATCTTCGTAGTGCTGCCGCGCGTCGTGCTAGAGCGCCTGAGCTCAGGCACAACAGCTGTCCTGGAGGATGACGATGTCGGCGGCGGGGCAGCGGCCAAGGCCGAGGTGTCACGAGGCCCGCCAAAGTTGGACTCGAGCACGCTCTCACCGTTTTTCATGTCGAAGAACTTCTTGCTCGCTGCCGGCGAAGGTGGGACAACTACGTCCGCCTTGGGATCGATGCTGTGGCGGCTTTGGCTGTGGCGACGAGATTCGCGGTGATGGGAGTGACGGTGTTCAGAGGATCGCTCCGAGCGGTCGCGAGGGGCGGACCGGTCCCTGTCCTTGTCTGTCTTGGCTGGGGAGTCGGGCGCATTGTCCCTGGCCTTCTCAAGGTCCCGGGCACGCCGCCGTTCCTCCTTCCGCCTGTCGTGAGCTGCTTGTTCCTCAGGGGTCCTATGTCTCCGGGAATGAGGGCTGTTTTTGTGCTCTCCTAAGCCGGGGTCCTCACGAGTCGGCGTGCGCGGAGGCTCATCGTCGCCGCGCGAACGAACAGACGTATGGCTATCTGACCGCGAACGGTGGGAACGTCTGGATCCATCCTTGCTTCCATCCCGACTGTCGCGGTGTGGTCGATAGCGCGAAGAGTGGTGGCTATGGCGTCTGGAGCCGTGAGCGACCCTTGGAAATCCTCGGCCCTTCAGGGGGTTCTCTAGTCTTCTCTTTGTCGTCTACTGAGAGGTCAGCAACAGGATCAGAAAGGTCTCTCGACCTGGCTCCTGCCCCTATCCTGCTCACCCTCGACGGGCATGGCGGAGTCCCTGGAGAGACATGATGGGCACCTCGACCTCCTTTCCTTTTCCCCTTCACGGGCAGAATGCATTTCGGGCGAACCAAGGGCATCGGTTCCTGGACTGGCGAGTCTCGGACTCCCTGGGGGACTAAGAACCTCGGCCGTGGCGTAAATGACGACGGCAGCCGCCACCATCTCCTCGGCTTGTTTGATGGTGTTTCTCCGTTGTCGGCGTAGGCTGCGCATTCGGCTCAGTTGCCTAGCCACAGGATCGTCGAAGTCAGGGCAAATGAGAGCAGGTGTGGGTACGCGGAAGTCCATAATGTTGTCTTCTTGGGCGGGTCCTGTTCCATCGGTTCTCGGCCTTGGGGAAACCAGATAGCCTTCGTCAGTCTTCGCTTCCCCGATACCAACAACAGCGGCACTCCGCTTGGCAGATTCCTCACCATCCTCAGAAGAAGCTCCCTTCTTTTCCTCATTCTTCGCCTTTTCTTCTCGTGTTGGCGTGTCTTGATCCACGACATGGAACGATTCGGAGAGCGGGGCAGATTTCTCCACAACAACCTGAGAAGACTCCGTCGTCTTGCACTGTTCACGCGATAGCGACCTCTCCAGTTCAGATCTCTCTTCGGAAACGCCCTGGGCAGGGTTGGCCTCAAACGCCGTCACGCCGTCAAGGTCAGCCGCAAACTCCTCAAGGCGCGTGATTGTTGGCGCGAGATGGGGTTTGTCAATGAAGTTGTGTGCAACCAAAGCAGTCGCGGCCCCAGCAGCGCCAGCTACGCCCGCACCAATTGCAACCTCTCTTGAGTGGGAGTTACCGGTATCTGCACCACTTGTTTTTTCGGGAAGCACTTCCCTTGTGGCGTTAGGTAAGGAGAACGATGTGTCGGTGGGCAAAGTGAACGTCGTATCTGTTGGCAATGGGTACGTTGTCTCTGTTTGCAAAGAGAAATCCGTATCTCTAGGGTCGTAATCAGGGCCTTCATGATAGACTGTGCGCCCGAGAACAGGACTCTCTTTGCTAATCTTTCTCGTGTCCGAAAACCCTGCCGAGGAGGCGTCGTGGGTGACTGCGTAGTCGGCCACGGAAATTCGGCCCAGGGTTTTCTCGGTGGCAGGCGGCACCGGGGCAGCGATGGCCTTCTGGACAGCCTCCGAAGCTAAGTCGGTGGCTAGAGCCGATGGCTCTGTTGCATCAGCTGACTTGGCCGCTGCAACGGCTGTAAGACCGCCAATGGCTAGCGAAGTCGCTAAAATCGGGGTGGTTGAGTCCTCACCGATTGGAACAGCTGGCTCTGTGGTTTCAAGTTCCGCTCTCGTTACCAAAACCGCCGAGTCGTCAACTAGCTGGGCGTCTTTGGCGCTCAGCATGACAATAGATTCATCACCAACGGTGGCGGCAAGGGCTTTATCTTGTAATGACGGCTGCTCGGGGCCAGAGACTTCCTGGAGTGATGCAATGGACTGGCTAAGGAGGACTGGCTCCTCAACAAGCTGGAAACTTTCACTGGTCACAACAGGCTCGTCGACCACAGGATCGTTGACAAGTGAGCCATTCTGGGGTTCCAATGGCCCGGAATTGACGGCGTCCTGAAGTAGCGTAGGAGACTGCTCGGTAACGGGCAATTCTTCAACGGCGGCCTCAACCGGCTCGGTGTTCTGGGGAATCGTCACAGTGTCGACTAGGACATACTCCTCTGAAGCCGTCTCAGAAGCGTCCTTCTCCGCGGCAAATGCGGAAACATGGCCTAGGGCCTGAGCCTTTTGCGTTTCATGAGGCTCCGGCCCCGACTCTAGTTCACGAGCCTTACCCTGCATAATATCGACATCCGGCTCGGTCACCTGCGTTTCGGCAGCGGCTTCAGTGGCAGTCTTGCTGAATGGAACCTGAGAGATTGCCTCAAGGCCGTCGTCGCCTAGCTCTTCTGTAAGATTAGATTTCTCAGAGCGGTAAGACTCAGCGGAGGCGGCAGGCCCTTTGTTGATTGGCAGCGCAGGTTGCTCGACTGAAGTGACTGCAACATCGACGGATGCCTCAACGTCAGCAGACTCGGCCTGGACTAATTCCCTTGCAGTAATTTCCTCGGCGTTGGAAATACCTCCAGCCGCGGCAGGCTCCTCATTCGTGGTACGCTCATCAACCACAGCAGGCGCGTCGGCGCTAGGAGACTCATCAACCGGGGGGCCAGGTCTGGTAGCAGGCTCCGTATCCTTGGCGCGGGGACTCTTCGGAGACTCGGGCGTTTCTTGGGAAAGGGTTTCTTCCTGTATTTGAGTCGATTCGGCTTCGGCCTCTTTGGTTTCGGAGCTTTCTGCAGCTGGGATATCGGGAACCGGCCCGGCCAGTTCGTCGTCCAGTTCAGGCAACGCGGTCAGAACGGGCCTAGCCATCGAGATCTCCCGTTGGTCTACTTCAGGCTCAAGGACCGTAGCTTTGTCTTCGAAGGTTGGTTCGGGTTCCGTAGCAGCAGCCAACTCATCGATTGAAGCCGCTTCGGGCGCAATTTTCTGCTCAACGACCGAGGTCTCAGCGGAGACTTGTGCATCCTCCCTGGTTTCTTCATGTAAGGGCAAAGGCTGTTCCTGAGCAGAGTCCTCAACTTGGTTAACCCGAGTCGCTCCCGCTGATTCATGGCCTTCAGCTTTGTCGCTGTCAAGTACGTCGTCCGTGGTTTCGAGGGCAATGATTTCTTCGCTAGCGGCAGCAGGTTGTTTGGCTTGCGGTACCTCTCTGGCTTGCTCAACTTCGGGCTCTTCAGCCAAGGTGAGAACGGGCTGTGGTTTCACCTCAGCCGCCCTAGAAGAAGACCGCGTTGGAATGATAGTTTGTGCTTGTTGTTCGGCCCCAACTCCCTCTGGGGCAGCGGTGCCCACTCCCAGAATAGGTGCTGCATCTTCAATTGTTGAAACAGGAGTCACCTCGGTGATGCCCGCCTCAGAAAATCGAGTTTCCTCGTCAGGTTTGACTTGTTCAGTCTCCTGGTGTGATGCTGTAACTGTGATCCCAAGGACTGGTTGAGCCTGATCTTGAACTGGCAAATCAACCTCGTCGGCATCCCTCGCGGTAGTGACTTGGCCCTCAGTCTTCGCCACGTGGTTCAGCGGGGGCTGTAGCCTCATGAGCCACTTGCATAAAGGTCTCTTGCCCCCCCAAGGGTTCCTGGGGTTTAACGTCACCACAGACCTCTGCCGTCACGGTTGCGGCAGAAACCTGTTTACTTGTCAGCAAAACTACATGAAAATGGCAACTTCGTAGCCCTGTACTTACAGCTTGCTCGCTGGGTGCTGTGCCTTCCAAACCTGAACCTTCTGGGGTCTGGGCCTGCCCCCCGCCAGCGTCGGAACAGAGCATTTTCGTCTCCGTGCCATGCTCATTTTCTCCAGCCATATTGCCGGCATTAAGTTGTTCGGGGGTATCGGGGGTATCATCATTAACAGTTGAAGTCATCAAACTCTTGTCCTGGGTATCATGGGTATCCGGAAGTCGCAAGTCCGAGTCCGTGTCGGTTGGTTGCGAAATGCACTCTGCCGCCGCCTGTCCTGCCATTCCACTGCCATCGGGGGTATCAAGCAATGTAGGGTGTGCCTCACCTGTAGCCGCTTTCTCAGCTGCCTCATGTTCGCGAGGGATTGGCCCAACCGTGTCCTTGCTCTCGTCGTCTTCTACCTTGACTTCTTGTGGCCTCTCCTCCGCCAACTCCTGAACTAGAGAGGCGGATTCGGACTGTTCGGTCTTCGCCTCGTCGGAAACTAGCTCAGATACCTTGTCGGTTGGTTTCTCCTCGCGTGTCGGGGAAACTTCCTCGATGGCTGCTGTCTTTTCTACCCTGGGCTCAGCTGCCACTTCATTAGGTTGCGTTGCTGCCTCTAACCGGAGATCCTCATTGAGTTCTTCGGACTTGGCCGCCAAAACAGGCTCAGGCTTCGCCGTCTCCGCAGGTTCAGGCTTGGTTTCCTCCGCGAGTTCAACCTTGACCTCCTTGACCAGCGTCGGCTCTTCCGTGGGTGCCGCCCGTGCTTCCGCAGTAGGCTCAGCAGAAATCTCCTCAGCAGGCGCTGCCTCGGAGACCTCGACAGGTTCCACTTTAGCCACTGCGGGCGGTCTAAGCTGGAATTCTTGAGCCGGTTCAGCCTTTGTGGCTTCGGTGGTTTCCAACGTGGGAGACACGGTGTCTTCGTCGGTAGCCTCAGGCCCACCCTTGATCTCCTCGACGGGCTGAGTTTCGACCTCCTCGACGGGTTGAGCTTCGACCTCCTCGACGGGCTGAGTTTCGACCTCCTCGACGGGTTGAGCTTCGACCTCCTCGACGGGTTGAGTTTCGGCCCCCTCGATAGGCTCAACGTTGGCCTCGGGGGATTCAACTTTCACCTCTTCGGCGGCTTCCACGGCAGGTTCAGCCCTGACTTCCTCAGTCTCAAGCTCGGTATCTCCGGTGAACTCAGCCCTCGTGGTTTCTTCAGCGGCGTCGGTCTTGGCTTCCTCTGAAAGCTCAGCCCCAGCTTCCTCAGGCTCAGCCTCGGTCTCTCTCTCAGGTTCAACCTTGGCCTCTTCGGCGTGCTCCGCCTTGGTTTCTGTGACAGGTCTATCTTTGATTTCGGCGTCAACACCTCCCGCAGGCTTAGGGATGGTTGCCTCTGCTATTTCAGCCTCGACATCCTCTTGAACCGCAACCTTAGCTTCCTCGGACTCGAGCTTGGTTTCGTCGACAGGGCCAGGGCCAACCTCCTTAACAGCATCGGATTCAGCGGTTTCAGCAGTCTCAGTCCCAGTCTCCTGCTCCGTGGGTTCGACTTTGCTCTCATTCCTAGTCTCGATTTTGATTTCCTCTGCAGACAAACGCTTTGCCTCGTCAGTGGCCTCAGCGTCCGCATCTTCGGCAGCGGAAATTTGGGACTCCTCGATAGGGGCAGACTTGACCTCCTCGGTCAGTACTACCGCTTTTGTGGCAGTGTTGGTTTCTTCGAGAGCTGGGGTTTCTTCGAGAGCTGGGGTTTCTTCGGGAGCTGGGGTAGACTCTCCCTCTTGGATAGCTGTCGCAGTAGGGGCCTCAGCCGTGATTTTTTCCTTTGACTCCTCTGCATCAGGAGCGGACCCCTTAAGTTGAATCTCGTTGCCGTTGTCGTCCTCTTCGGAGTTGGCTGTTTCTTCTCCGGTAGCGGGAGTGGCCTCGACCTCAACATCCGGCTTGGCAGCCTCGGCTGAATCAGCTTGAGCGGAGTCGGTTTCAGCCGGCTTTTCGGCGGTGTCGCTTTCAGCCTTAGACTCGGTGGGAGCCTGGGTTGTGTTAGTAGGGCGAACCCCAGGTACAAGAGATGAATCTTACTTCAGCAACGGAACGTATCTCCTGATCGCCCTCTTCTTCAACCCTGTCACCGGGTTTCTCCGCAAGTTCCTCATCGGCCTCTGGCTTTTCCGTCTCAGCAATACCTTCCACCTTGGTATCACGAGCTGCGGAGACCGGGGCCTCGGGCTCGCTCTTAGCTTCCCCAGCAGGTGCAGGGTCAGCCACAGCACTGACCTCCACAACAGCGGATTCGGGGGCTAGGACCTTTGTTGTATCGCCGGCCTTCAGCTCATCAACCTTCTCAGTCGGAATATCCTCCACGGTTATGTCCACGGACGTATCAGGGTCGGAGGCGGTCTCGGTCTTGGCTTCAATGGCAGGCTCGACGGTTTCTGTTTCAGCCGAAGCCTCGTCCTTGGTCTCCGGTTCAGGCTCACTTGACTTTTCAGCCGAAATGGCCCCAAACACGGGCCTGTTCTCACCAGCCGGCTCCTCTTTCACCGTTTCCTCGACAGAAGTGGCTTCTGTAGCCTCCCTGTTTCATCGTTAATATGTATGAAAAACCAGGCGATGGAATGATGCCACGATGTCAATCAATTAACTTACTCAGTAGGCTTCTCATCAGCCTCGGCCGCCTCTTCTGGAGCGGGGGCATCCTCAGCCGCATTATCGCTGGTTACAATAGCAGCGGCAGGTTCATCCTTCGAATCCTCAGCGAATTCAGGTTCAGCGGCCAACTTTTCCTCAATCTCAGTGACGGACTCAGAGTTGTCTTTTGAGTCGGTGTCTTGCGTAGACTCAGACGCCGGTGCTTGGTTCACCGCAGTTTCAGCATCAGGGCTGAGTGACTCTACCGCTTCGGGAGTAGGCTCCTCTTGGGCTTCTGCAACAAGTTCAGGGGCTAGCGTCTCCTTGACGTCAGCGGCGAGTTCATCCTCATCCGCCTCAGAAGAAGGCTCCCTCTTGGATTCGGCGGGTTCATTCCCAGCCTCGGCAACCGGCTCCGACTCGGTCCCGGCAGGCTGTTCGCTCCTGGCGGAATCAACAGTTTCCACCTCGGCAACTAGAGTCTCCTCGACGGTTGGTTCAGGGGCAGTGGATCGCGCCTCCTGTTCCTTCTCGTCGCCTCCGGTGGCTTCCTCAGTCTTGGCCACTTCCGGCTCAGCAGCCGGGTTTTTCTGAGAATTTTCTTGCAGCGCCTCAGCTTCAGACTCAGGTTCAGCCTCACTCTTGGGCTCGGGGGTAGGTTCATCTGCCTCTAAAGGCTTCTGAGCCCCCGCCGATTCGGCATCTGGAGCTCCGGTGTCTTCCGTGAGCTTGTCGGTTGCGGCGGCAACATGCGCAGTTTCAACAGCGGCCGCTTCGGGAGCTGACTCGTCATTTGTCTCCACGACTGGCCCTTCCGCAGGTGAAACCTCAGCCTCAGTAATGGTCGGCTCTGGCTGTCCCTCCACCGGCGTGGCCTCGTCGGGAGAGGTTGTGGTATTCTGTTGTTCGGCGGATGGGGTAGACTGGGCTTGAAGGGCGGCTTCTGCAGACTCTTCGATTGCTGCCTCCGCCGAAGGCGCGTCAGCGGTAGGGGCGACCGTAGCCTTGGCCGCCACTTCTAGCTCAGACGCGGCTTCTGCCATAATTACAGCCGCAACCTCTTCCGCCTTGGTTTCACCGCCTTGGACCTCGGTGACGGGCAATTTGGTGGTAGACTCGCTGGCCGCCTCCTCTTTCTGATCATCAACACCCCGGGCCGCTAGCTCCGGCTCGCTAGCCTTCTCCTCGTTGGAAGATGACTTCTGTGCCTTAATCTCTTTTTTGTCTTTGGCCTTCTTACCCTTCTTCTTCTTTTTGCCCGCTGATGCGACTTCTTCGGGCTCCTCTTTGACCTGGGGTTCAGGCTCAGGCACGGGTTCGGCTTCAGGCACTGGCTCGGGTTCGGCTGGCGGTGCCGGGGCGGGTTCTGGCTCAGCGGCCTTCTCTGCTGCTTTGGCTGCCTTCTTTTTTGCCTTCTTGTTCTTCTTCTTTGCCGCAGCACTCATGGTAGGTGCAGCTTCCTCTACCAGCGCCTCTACTTCTTGTGCGGGGGGGGCGGGACCGGCCTCGCCCGCCTGGTCACCTAAAGTATCTAGTCAATCTGTCAGCAACGATATCTCAACCCCCTTCTCATCCTGCCGTGTATGAAAAATCAAGTCGACAACCAATACTCACCCTTGCCATTGACCCCATTCGCATTTTCATCCTCCGAGTCGGTCGGCTGGAAGAACTTGACATCCCCATACTTGGCTACCTGCACCTGATTAAAATCGGCAAACTCGACTTGATCATACTGGGCCTGGGACCAATGCAGGTCTGCCCGTGTCGGACAGAACTCGACATCTTCTCCTGGGATGCTCATACTTGTGGGACGTCAACCTCGGCCTTGTCGCCGGAAGGGAGCTCGACCGTGAGGACGTGAGGGGTATTCTTATTATCCTCCATACAGAGCAGCACAGCGCACTGCAGCTGTGTGTGGCACTGTCGGGAGAGAGGCGGGGCCGGTGTGATGGTCGAAGTTGGGGGTCGTTCGGGAGGCTGCAGATAGGCTTCCCGAAAAGCAATATGGTGGGGCGTTGGGTCGCGAGTGTCTCACGGCCAGTGGTCAAACTGGGCAACTAAATGGGGGTTTTAATGTATGCACGGTTGCTGACGCGTTGCAACCGGAAAGAAGTTTCTTGCTGGTGTCACGGACGGTGGTTGGCCGTGACAATTTTTGCATGAGTGGTCAAAATCAAAAGTAAACAAATGGGGATGCCTGGGAGAACCTCCCGTTGGGGTCTTCTGCCTTTTGAGAGGAGCGGAAAGTCAACACTCTTCACAGCTCCGTTGGGCTGCATGCGTAAAAGGGAAAAACCTTGCACTTCTTGGACCGGTACTCAAAATTGGGACGAGGAGGGGAATTGATCATGGAAGGAGGACCCGGAGGGAGGGGCAGGTCAGTGAAATGGCCATTGGGCCGGGCCTTGGCAAGGACTACTTTATCCCACCACGGCAATCACCCCCCAATCCCGTCGATATGGGCACTCAAACCCCACGCAACGGGACGGACTCAATGCGCGGGGTTGTGAGACCTCAAGTGACCGGATTGAGGGGACTGACTGGACAGAGCACGAGGCATTGGTCCACCCAGCTGCAGTGGCGCCACGTCTGCAACGGGGGTTGGACACCGAGCCCAGCAATCACCTGGATCGGAAACGATCACGACGACACAAGGCGAGGCTGCTGCCCAATCGATAGAAACCCATTCGGCAAGCCGAGTGGACAATCACAAACCCGCAATGGCTCGTGACACGACCGACACCAGGCCAAACAAGAGCCGAGCGGAGAAGAACAGTCCATGCCGACCTTGTATTGTTGGTAGGAGAAAGCTTGCTGGGGCTCCATTCCACCCGGTCAAGTTGTGAGAATCGCTCGACTGATGAGCGGATATCAGAGGCATTGGGAAAGCCTCGCACCCAGTTATTGGTTAGGAAGCATCTGGAAATTGGCGCAACATTGGGCAGCCATTGAGCCATCACGCGGCGCTTCCACTCTCGGCCGAGGTGAGGTTCCTGACATGCCCTGCTCGGGAAGCCGGCCCAATGTCGGGTGGCATTGCAGACACATCGGACGGTGCAAGATAATGGTGTTGTGGCGTGGAAACGTCCGAGGTATATACCCTCCCGGCCGGCCATAAGCTGAAGACGAATGCGGTGATACACTCCGCCCTGTCCGGACAAGCAACAAGTTCGGTGGTGCAAGTGCTGCCGTGTGGTGTTGCGGTGTGCTACGTGGTTGTCTGCTGGCTAGTCGATTGTGGGATGCCTGCAGGACGGCCAGTCTAACCTCGAGGGTACCTTAGCTCTGTGGGGCACCTGGTCACATCGGGACCAACGGGGGGCTTGGACCGGGGTGTCTACCGGGTCGACCCACCGCCCCAGTTTTCATTACAAGCATGAGCTCGGTGTTGCGCAATATTCCGAATTCTGAAGCTCACCTTGATATGATCGAAAACTACGGGACGTCAAGAATAAAATTCTTGCTACCGGGTCGTGGAGACGAGGAGTAGTTGTAAACACCGATTTGTTAGCGCCAGCATCTCTTGAAAATCCTCTGACCGCTCACAATCGCGCTAGTCAGGGGTTGATGCCAGGTTCCGCGCTAACAACCTGGCGAGGAACGTTGACCTCGGCGAGTTTGCCAAGCCCTGGGGAGCGACGCGACATCAAAACTTTCGCCTCCCACCATGCACGGCATGACAAAAAGCGGTGTGTTTGGCGACTGAGAGTCGACGAATCAGACGAACTTATCCGACCTTGCCGTCCCACAAGAGAGCTCAAACTGAATTCCAGAAAGAGCTGTTGGGGCCGAAGTAACGATGGCATGGAACTCCCGCGGCTGCCCAAATTCCACTCAGAATGTCACGTGCGTAACTATTGTGGAATCTGTACAAGTCAATGCAACTATCGCAATGGGGAGTTACCACTGATATGAACGCCACCTTGGCAACCATGAGATACCTGGGGTCCCACGCGGGGAACGACTGAATTGAGTCAAACGAGAGCACTCATGAGATCAACTTCGTCCCGCACCGTGCTCCCCTTCTCTTTTTTCTTCAAGAGACACGCCAAAAGAACCCTGGAACCCATGCTCTCGATGTACAGATGAAGGGTAAAAACCTTTGTAATCCAACTCGACACGACAACAGTGATCATACTCCGCAGATGTCGAGTGCGTAGCTCATAGGTTCTTGTTAACATTACTTTGGGCTTCGGCGTGTTATTTTCTAGCTGTTTAGACCATCTCGGCTGTGTCACTGTTCGATATTTTCCGACTCACATCGGTTTATATTTGCTTTTTCTACGAGCAAGTCTGTTAATGCGGTAATCTCCCCCTGTGTCTGACTCCAACATGTTCTGCCTCGCGATTGGTCATGTCACCCGTGCACATTGGGTTTTGACTTGAAGGCCCGGCCGGAAAGGTTCGAGTGCGCGCATGCAATTTGGTGAGTCAGGTGCTGTGGGGGAAACCGGACGACGGAAGGCCGTTGGACTCCTCATCCCATGCTCCTCGCCGGGAGCTATCAATGACGACACAATATGGACATTGTCTTGAGGGCCCATGTTTTGATCCGGCCCAAGGAGTATCATTATTCCCTCCCATATCACCTCTCCGCCGACAGAAAAATCAGTACCGCTATCGATGGCAGTAAATTGGCCAGGTCTTTCGTACCAAGCAAGACCCAGAGTGGTTCTGAAATGAGGTTGCGACGGTAAGGATCGAAGCGGCCAGGGATGGTTTAATTCCAGAATATACACAGAACGAATGAAATATACAGACGCTCTCTAGTATTGTCAAACCTGGACACGCATAGCATGCCATGGGGCGATAAGTAGATAACACAAGGGTTGCCCGGGTCATCAACGGGTTTCGGGTGCTTGGCGATTCCAGTAGTTAATGATTGCAAACAAGCTTTCGTAAGTCCGAGCAAGGCAGTGAACAGATCTGGTGTATCAAGGTTCATACTACCGTAAACAAGTTGCATTTGACATGTTCCCCAGCGACCTCCCATAGCCACGTTAAATCCTGAACCTCAAACGCCGTCCCTCGAGTGAGAGGCAAAACCCCCCAAGTTGTGTCGATACCTATGCGGGAGACACTACCCACAATCACCTATCCTCCCATATTCTCATAATAGATGCGAGGGGAACCACGCCAAATTAAAAACCGGGCCGTATACTCCACGCAAGTGACAGCGAGACCACGTCATTGCGACGCAAATCCTCACGTTTACATAGCCATCTCGGCTTGCAGCCTCCTGAGCTCCGCTTCCTCGTCGTCCTCGGCAACCATGGGTGCCTTGCCCTTGACTTAAACAATATTAGTAAAGTCCGAACCGGCACGAAGGCTACCCGAGCCTCTATGAACTTACTCTCCCCGTTCGCCACAGTTGGCAGCCGCTGGATGGAGTCCACAGGGACCGCGCCGGTCTCCAGCATTTTGTCTTCGAGATCCTGCTGCTGGAGTGCCTCAAGCTCGTCTTCCAGCTCTGTGTCATCAAGTTGTGGGCCCACGCTGACGCTACCCATTGCCTCTGCGATCTCTTCGTTAAGCCGGTTGTACTCCTGTAATTTATCCCTGCCAGCTGTCAGTACTAGCTCTTGTGTATCCCCGCTTTACTGTAAAGTAAAAAACATACATCGTCTCGTCAACCTTGGTCGGGGTAAGGTTGCCATGTATGGTCTTCATCGCGTCGCCTGCCCGTCGCATAGCCGTGAAGGTCTCTTGGTTGATATTTGCTGACTCGATCGCGTTCACCTGCTGTTCGATGGTCCCGATGTGGTTCAGTGTCTGCTCGAGATTGTGTTCGTGGATCTTCTTGCGTCGTAGTGCCGCCTTCGCAGCTGCCGGGTTCCATGAGTTAGCATTCTAGCCGCACGGGATCCACAGGAGCGCCGGTAAAAAAAGGCATACTGGTCTTGTTTGTGTTGACATTCTTCCGCGCGATCTGTTCCTGTTCTTCGATCTGGCGTGTGAGATGGGCCTCGCGCTTCTGCAACATCTCGAGTTGCGTCCGCAAGTCGAGGATGACATTCTTGGGTGTATCTTTCCGCTTTTGCGCGGCGCCACCGCCAAACCAGCCCCAGATACCTGACATGGCGAGTTTGTCTAGTCGGAATTGGCGGCAGACGGTGGTATGGGCGAGGTGAAGAATCGGGGGTTGGGCCTGAGGCAAAACTCGGGGTTGTTGTAGTATTTGCGGGAGGGCAGGGGCAGCTGACCAGCTGTGCCGATGACGCCTCGCAGTGTTTTGGCGGGGTCGAAACCTGACTTAAGTCGCTTCGTCGTCCGCTTATCGAGTGGCAGCCAAAGAGAGAACGCGCAAACTAAGCAGGCTGCCTCGTCCAGCAATGTGTCGAATTCGGGACCAAAAGCTGTGGATGACGAGAGCACGAAGATTGTCTGGATGTTAAGCAAGGCTGCCTATCGGGGGTATGATGCAAGGCGCCAACAAGGCCGTTGCTGGGTCGGGTGATTGCGGCACGCGCAAGCCCAGCGATTCAGCCCGGGATTTACCCGTTTATGCCCACCGGTCATGTGACCTGGTAGCTTTGGACGATGAAGGCAAAACACAGAGAATGGAACTGACTGCATCCTTATCTGTGCTGCCCGACACACTTCCCCCGTACGAATACCAAACTTTCCCGTCTGAGAAAGAACCCACTCAACTGGATTTGGGGTTTCAACCTCCCAATGCCACGAAGCCAAGCAAATGTAGAAATGTGTTGACCGCACCGGGACCGCACGTCACCATGTCGTCTTATGGTCCACGACCGTCCCAGTTGTGCCTACTCTCCTCACTACCACGGAAAGAGACGGGAGATAAAGTGAGGTTTTTAGGCTGGTAAGATTTGTCTTTCCTTAACCCGAACAATTATGTTTGGCATTTATAGCAGTCCTTGGATCGGGACTGCGGGCGGCTGTGGTTTGACTGAAACCTTTACGACACTAAACTGACCAAATACCGTCAGTGTAACATCATACTCGCCAGCGTCCGGCGTACTGTCACTAGAGCACCGTTTGCCAGAAGAAACTCATTCCGTCATCAGTCTGGTGGATGTTAATTTGGTTCTCGAAAGCCTCGGATCGGAACACACCCGTGTGGGAGAGTGGGTAAATGTCATCGGATACATTACTGATATAGCTCCGCTGGCCTCGAACAGGGAGTCAAGCCGTGGAAGACTAGCGGTTTATACTCAAGCGGTCCTTCTGTGGTCGGCCGGGCCTTTCGATATTCGGAGATACGAAACATCAGTCAAGGCCCTCGAGCAGGCCAGCTGAGCCCCTAGCGGCGCCGCGTCTTGATATGCACTTTTGCGGTCAGACAACATTACTCGATGTATTCTCACCGGGTGCGTCATTGCGAGACATGCGGCCTCGCCAGCAATCGATGGGAAAGCTTTCGAACACGGCGGCGAGGGTGCGCCAACTCAGCACTGGTTGTTTTTTCGGACCGGTTCTCCCCCTTGCGGTCTCCGGGGGTAGGATACAGTTTTTTTTTTCTGTGGAAAAGCACCACCAGCTCGAACTCAGCGTGGCACAGCATATGTTGTGGCCCGCTCGGTGAGGGACCCAATCTCAGATGTTCTGTCCTCCTCACACAATGACCCTCTTTTTCCGTGTCTTGACGACATGCGGTGACCATAGTGTGTCTGATCTACGATAATTTTCAGAGGCCGTTATCTTCTCGCAGCACAGTGGCTGACTGCCGATGAAGCCCTGATGTTGGGGGGGCGGAGAGGGCTTGATGCAAACAATTGACATCTCTGCGGGAGTGCGGGATATCGACCAGTGCAAGTCTGCCACAGATACTTGCGCAAAGCTCGCCGCGATGACCCAGCGTCCTCACGATCCCCAGCTTCAATTGTCGCCGAGTCTCGCCCCGTCTAAATGCACAGGGATATGGAGCCAGCCCAATTGGGATTCCCCGTCCGTTCAAAAGCTTACTAGCTTTCGGTTCGGCTGCAGGATCCGACATACACATGCAGTTCTCCGCCAAAGACAAGGGGAAATTCGATGTCCATTGCAGTTGCGGCATGCCAGATGGCACAATATTGCTGGTCCGAAGCTAAAACCCCTTGACCGCCATGCCACAGTTTGATCTTGCAGCTGCATCCTTGGCGGCCAATATCAAACACTCTGTGCGCCATTCATTCACTCTCACACTTTACCTCCCCCCAACATCCGCCGAACCCATAGAATAGTGGAACACCAACCCTGGTGCCTCTTTCGCAAGACAACCGCCTACAGGTTGACCCTCCGGCCCTGCATCCATCATTAGGTGCCAACAAACCATGTCTTGGTTTGGGTTTCCCGTGGGGTATCATTATTAGTTTCTCCGTCTCTCGTCACGTCGGCTTCTGGACTCGGTACTCCTTCGGCTCTCTCTCCTCCGCCTCGTCGAATCGCCCGTGCCGGCTTTCGACATGACCACGGGCTGGTGGAGTGGCCGTTTAAGGACTTTGTTCGCGGTCCCGGATGCCCTAGCCGCGGCTTGTTTTTCCCACATCTCTTTGGACTTGACACATATATCGTCTATTTGCTCCTGATGGAAGGGCTGTCAATCTTGCGGTCGGATCGGGTTTCGCCGCGAAGTCGGTGGCTCACATCTGTTAGGCAAGGTCCCGGTGTTGTGATCAAGAAACCATCTTCTCCCTGCGAACGTGTCAGCCCTCAGTGCCTCGAGAGCTCGGCGGACTGAACAACGCACATCGCGAGTAAAGGACCGCACTGTTGCCTCCGGTCCGAGGTAGTACTGCAGCTCCTGGGTGATGACCTTCTTGTGGATGTCCAGGTGCGGGATCCAGTATTTGTTCATGGAGGAAGACGACGACATGGTGGGCGGGAGGGAATATCGAGGGGACAGCGGCGGCCAGGTTAGTGTACGTTGCTTTCTTTTGCCCATCCTTCTTCAAAAGCATGCGGGGTGGCCCCTATTTATGGCCTCTTACAAGGGCCCCTCCCTACGGCCGAGGCCTGTCCAGTGAAGGCGTGTTTACAGTCGAGGAGGCTTCCTCCAAAGCCATACATACCACATACCCTTTTCGTCAGCTACACCGCCCAGTCTGTCCGAACCACTCATGCCTACCTTGCCGTAAGCTCGTGGATGGCGCGGGTGCGATTTTGGGAATTGGCAGACCCGCTCCTTACTGGCCTATTTCCACAACCCATGTGGTCCGCCTCACTTTTCCGCCTCGTCCCTTTCCCTTCCGCCCCCCACGCTTCCATCTGTAAGACACACACACACCCGGAAGCGGGCCCACTGTTCCCCAGCGCAGTTTCCTTGATGCGGGCCGTCGTACAAAAGAGCCCCTGGGCCCAAGCTTATCCGCTGGGGTGTCGCTTATTGGCCACCGCCCGTTTCGTCGGTTTCATCTTCCCATGTGTCCAGTAGCATGGATTCGATGCAGCCCTATCACCTCGCTTGGCGAACGACGCCGGCTCAGGCCAGGTGTTCTCGAGCCTGGTTTCCCGGTTTTTCCAGCTTGAAGTACCGCCTAGAGTGGAGGTGGCAACTCATGTACATGGTTGCTTATGCGCGAAATGCGATCTGCTGCTGTCGTCATAAAGGCTTTGCCACCTGCTGCTCTGGGACTTGCCCAAGATGACCTACCATTATCTACCGACACTGGCGATTTGGGCGTGTTTCATACCAAAACAGCCGAGTCAAGATTTGCCGGGCCTGTTCTGGAATTATGATCTTGGTTTGGGGCTGGCTGTCGATCTCCCGCTCGTCTTGTGGAGTGGACCACTGTCGTGCAGCCTCGCTGTGAACGGTCTGGATAGAACATTCGTGTATTGTCGATCTTCCTCCCTTGCCCATGGCTTCCGTGTTCCTGGTGGATAAAACTCGGTGTTTTGAACTTCAAACGCTTGACTGCCTTGTTTGAGGCGGGTGTTTACTACTTGCTGCCTTGCTTTTCGGACAACGGTGGCGACGAGTCTTTGGCGCCCTGGGGGTTGATACTGTATGTACCATGCCTGTAGTTGGCGTATGTGGTCACAGGCACGAATATCGATGTTTCTTCGAGTATTTACGGACCGTTTTCCTTCGGGGACCGAGCCATCAGCACAGCATCCCCGTCCTTGGGCAACATGGCTACCGGCGCAATATGGCGTGCACCTGGTATGCCTGCCACACATTCCTGTTTTTCACCTCTATATAGTTTCATTACAACAGCATGACGAATGCTGGACATGATGTGATGAAAGGGTGTATGAATAGAGAATGAGCGTCGGACTGAAGGCGAGTGGATTCTGTGTTGAGTCTCGGCAAGGCTATTTAGCAGTACACCGGACAGCCAACCATTAGTGTTCGCCCGAAGGAAGCGTGGGGTGTTGGTCATTGCTTGTCACTAGCTTTGTTCAGTCGAGTGTTTGTAGGGCCGCAGTGCAGGCATTAGGTTTTGTTCTCCTGACTGCAACACCGCAGAGTAGTTTCGTAGGCACCAATAAAAGGGTTGAGGCGAAGGGATCGCCGCGTCAAGTGCGAAGAGTGACCTCAGCACCTGCCTTGCTATTATATAAACTGTGGTACTGTCGGGCAGGTTTGGGTTTTGTAACCATGTTTGAGTGTAGAGTATTCAGTTGCTAAGTAGGATTAGCGCCTGGTCGTGAGGCGGGACTGCGGTGTTGGATTCAACAATTGGAAAACATGCATGGAAATCTCGAGGCCACCAATACCTAAGCTACTCAGACAGTTAATTACCTACCAGTTTTGGTTGCAAGCTTACGAGACCTCCGACACCCGTTTGCCCGGTGAACTTGTTGATAGATTATGTTGACAAGCGGGGCCGAATCGGTCCTCGTCCTGATACCGCTGGGCAAAAGCGGTGTTTCTATTCCATTGAGGGAACGCAGTGAGAGTGTTGACGCATATCTTGTATTTGTAACACTGGGGGGAGGAGCACGAAAAGAAGCCGCCGAGATAGGACAACGCACTCCGCCGCTGCCTGGCAAATGAGCCGCGCCAGTTCTCATGCTTTTCTGAGCACAAGTGTGCCTGAATGAGGGGAGCGACTCCCTGCCTGATCAGGGCCAGCCCCAGCTTCTTAACCCCATACATTTATGTTTACAGAGATAGATAGCCCAATAGATGAGCAAACGGTCGAGCCTCAGAATGGGCGCCTGCTTCCCGTGGCTCCTGGTACTAGCGAGAGAACTGCGCGGCGTTGATCTTGTATCGGCCCTATGGACTGAATCACGAGTGTGAAGTAAAAAGTTGTAAGCATCCTAACGACACCCGGCGACTCCACATGACAATCGGGCCGGGCACTTAGTTGCCCACCTCCCAGTTCCCAATTCAAATGACTTCATGACGACCGGAGCGGAGATAGCCGGTTATAACCCTAGAACCCACTAGCCCCGATAGGTGTACGCTGATATTCTAATCAGGTGGAATAACTAAATGGAGCCTTGGTGCTGTCGAGCAGGGAAAGCCTCTTGCCCCGTGGCAAACGTGGGTACACTAAAAGGGTCAGTTGACGTTGTCGCCATGGATGGATGGAATTTATTTCGCCCGGAGGCACTGGGCCTATAGGGCCTTAGCACGCTAACTACATCCGGATCAAATCGTTTTGCCTTTAACTCGTACAAGCCCCCTACTTCTTCCCTCTTTCTCGCTGCACCATTTACCTCTTGCCTTGGTTGTTGTTAGCAGATCAGCTTGGAGGCTACTTTCTCTAAGTGTTCCGCGTCCTATCCGTTGTCGCCATCGATGCTCGTGGTTGGCGGATGACGACTTGCTGTCACATGCGCCGAACAATGCCAAGACTGCTGGCGCATGCAACAACTGAAGCGGTGAGATGCTGCTCGCTCAGGGGTTTAGCTGCATTTCCGTGTCTTGCGTCAATCATTTCCAACCTGATTCCGGCACATGCGACACGCCAACAACAGCCTCTTCCTCCAACATCCGGGAACCAGATCTCATCTTCGATTCGCGTGGCCATGCTCAGAGATCGTTTGTCGGGACAAGTCCAGCCATCAGATCGGACGATGCAGTCAATGCCGGGGTCGACCTGAGCTGCAGCTGCGACTGGACACACGTGCAGATAACAGTGGACACTCTAAATTTTGGTGCAGGGCACGCTTCTTTTTTTGGACACGGTGGACAAGAACTTCAAGAAACGGCCTCCCGGAAAAAGGACCAAAGAAACGACAAGCTTTGTGGGATTAAGTCCTATTTCTTGAAGAAGGCATCACTACGAACCGCCGACCACCAGCTCCCCGCCGTCCATGCGGAACATTGGGTGCCAAATGGGCCATAGACCAATACCTCGGATCCTTGACGAATCGATCGTTTCGACCACCGCCTAAGCCGCGGACCGCATCGCGCCATCGCATCCACCGCCTACGTTGAAAGGACGGCGAACACCATCGACCGATTGTGGGAGCTTGCTGCTGTGGTATAGCTGCCCCTCGGCTGCTCGATCAATTTTGCCTTCCAACTCCTACCCCACCCCTTCCATAAGTGGGCGCACAGTGCCGAGCCACTTGTCACGAGCACCCCGCGACCGTCTCCCACGACGAAACATCGCCAAAAACAGATCCCTCGTTAGCCCGGGCTATCAGGCATCACCGACCGGCCGCCGCCACGATGTGGTGGTTTATTAGCGCGTGCTCGAGCGCCATCTTCCTGCTCAGCATCGTCCTCTCAATACCCATCGCTTTCGACGTTGGGGGCCGCGATGCTGGACTGGCCTACTCGCTAGCGCTCTTCCTGTTCTACTTCTTCTATAGCATCGCAAAACTCATAACGCCAGAGAAGTCGCGGATACGGTGGTTTTTTAGGAACCTGGTCGGCTTGTCACAATGGGTCGTCATCCCGACGCTGCTGATCTGGTCGCTGAACCGCTTCTCGGTCGACGCCGAGAGCAGCGGCTGGGTGGCGCGCACATTTTCGCAGATTACGTCGACACACCATAAGACCTGGAAGCAGTGGTTCTTTGGCCAAGATGGCTTTATCGAGACGGTGGCACTGGGCGCATGGGACAACACCTTGAGCTACTCGAGCCCTGTCTTCCAGCTGCTCGAGGGCTTCTGCAGCCTGTTGGTCATCCAGGCCGCCGGCCAAATCACAAGATGGCTTGTCAACCGCGGGCGGAGTGACACATGGGTGGTAAGTACGTTGTTCTAGCGGCAAGACCCATTGCTAAATGAACTGCAGATCATCCTCCTCGTGTTTTCCGGCTCTATCATTTCAAGCGCCGTCTACTTTCTGTGGCGTGTAATTTCCTTCCCGCAAGTCAGCAACTTGGATGCCACCCTTATCGGGGTGGCTATGACATCGGCCGCCTTTCTGTGCGCCTTCGGCATCGCCAGCGGACGCGGGAACCCCGTAGAGTCCTCTCTGTTATTCGCTTACGCCGTCCTCTGCGTCTACCAGATCTTTACCGACTACCAACCGTCGGCTGAGGCTGCGGCCGCGGCCGAGCAGGCAGCCGCAGCGCAGCCTGACTTTCCCCCGTTACCCCCCATTATCATGGCTTCGTACTCGACTCTGATGCACATGTTGGGCAACCTACCCACGGCCGTGAGCTCGTCATTCCAGTTTCTCTACGCCGCGTTCCAGACCATCACTCCCAGTGTCATCATCTCGTTGACGTATCGCATCATCGTTTTTTATTGCGCCACGCGGATCATTCCGGCCGTCAGGGAACTGGGCGCAACCGCGATCATGGAGGAACCGACGCTGGAGGATACTGAGGGAGCGAATCGTCTAATTGGGTTCCTCAGCTGGTTTTCACCGTCTATGCTCATTGCCGTCTACACTAGCCTGCTTCTTCAGCATTTTAGCGTCTCCAGTGGAGACGATGCCGGGTGGACACTGCGGGCGGGCGATGCCGGCGGCAGCACGTGGCGATGGGTCAACATTGCCGCAACCATGGGGTTGTATGCTATCGAACTGTACCTTGGAGGGGACGGGGACGGAGGAACGCATTGGAAGACGGACTAGGGGGGACATGGACTCCGGTAGATCCTCGAACATCGGCCAACTACGAAACTGCTACGAGCGGCGTCAAGCTGGGCGCCCGAATATGTCTCGCATATGAAGCGATAACTACACCGCACTATGACTGGTTGAAGCCACTGGTGGAGATGGCAAGAGAGCACAAAGCTAAAGGATGGCGGGAATATTGGGGGAATGATACCCAGAGCTACACCGGCACTCAGTCGGGGCAGCCATTTTGGAAGGAGGAGGAACGGAGGAACGAGGACAGGAGGCTGGTGGAGGAATAAGAAGCCGAGCGGGCATCAAGAACGGCTCTCGTATGACAGGCGCCGTATCAACGAGGCTTGTCAACGTTCTTGCAGATCTATCACGTTTTGTTTTTCCCTCTTCTTTTATTTGCTTTTTTATTTCCTTTGTCTTAACTGCATCAAAGATACGGAATAGGAAGGGAGCAAAAAAGGTACTGGGACGGGGGCGGCTGGGAATACCTGAGCGGTAATGGCACTGGCAATGCACACAGCGAATGGCGTTATTGGACTACCTGGGGGCCTGCGAGGCATAGTTTCGTTTACCGTCTTCTGTTCTCCCTGGGAGTATCGGTGGTGAAAGCCTACCTTCTTCCTGATGACTTGGTTGACTTCGCGGGTGTTCCCGTGAGACACGTGAGAAATGTACATACATTGTCACCCTAACACGATGAAGAGATTGTTTTTTGCAGTGTTGGAAGCGACATGGTTGGGTAAGGTAGGTGCATATTTCGTGGTGGTCTCGACTAGTCTTAGCAATGTGGCCCTGAGGTCATGAAGCCCCTTCATTCGACTCCTCTTCTAAGGCTTCTGCGCCCCTGCGAGCATCACTAACGGCTGGAGTTCTACCTAAAAACCATACCAACCTTCTAATTCCCACCCATGCTTGGTTCTTGATACAGCCAAGCAATACAGCATGGTTTAGTCGTACCACGCTGCGCAGCTGATCGAGGGGATTAACCTCGTCAAAACCGTTATTTCCTACGAAACCAGTGTTAAATAAGCTGTGGAAGTAAAGGACGAGGCAAAGTGAATAAAAATATTTTGACCGAAAAAATGAAATTTGAAGTAGGTAACCGGAAATGGGCAGGTTGAAAATGGGTTATGGTGTCTGTTTAGCCCGTGCACTGCAGCACCAACCGCTGATTTTCCCTTGCTTCTTTTATCCCGAGTATTCACAACACCTCCGTAAAGAGCAACCGTTTGGAAACCAAACTCATTCCATTCCAATCCAAGGTACTGCAGCACGGACCACACATAACCTACTGGCTTGCCCACACGTGTAAATTTGTCACATCAAACACGCACCCGCAAGAACCCCTTCAAACGTCATCGATCCGAGCGGCTAAACGGGTGCATCTGAACGCGTCCGAACGCGTCCCCTCTAGGCGAACATCCGACCACACCAACCACGCCCTGCCACCAACACCACCTCGTCAAAAAAACCCTGATCACCCGAGGAGAAAACAAGTAAACAAACACAAGCAAAAGAAAGTCGACAAGAAAACGATGGCATCAACCCCACCGGCCAGCCCCAGCGCGGACCAGCCGGCGAAACGCAAGCGCGGTCGCCCCCCACTGTCGCCCTCCCAGCGCAAGCCGAAGCCGGCGCCATCCGGCCGGCCGCGCGGGCGACCCAAGGGCAGCGGCGCCAAGACAACGGGCGGCGGCGTGCGGAAGACGGCGGCGGCCGATCCCACTGCGTCCGGCGCGACGACGCCTCGCCGCGGCAGGGGCCGGCCAAGGAAGGACCAGAGTGCGCAGAAATTGCTGGATGCCGCCGTGGCTGCCCCGGCTGCTGCTCGCGAGGAGGAGGCTGAGGAGGTTCCTGCTGCGGCTACGCCCGTGGGGCAGGTCAAGAGGGGCCGCGGTAGGCCGAAGGGGTCGGGGAAGAAAGCTGCTGCGCCGGCGGCTGCTGCGGTTGCTGGTGCTATGACGGATACGACGAAGAGGAAGGGACCGACTACACCTGCGAGGGGAGGGCCTGGCCGCGGGAGGAAGGCTGGGTCGGCTGCGAAACAAGTGGTAAAGGATGAAGAGGAGGAAGATGACGAAGGAGATGAGGACGGGGATGGTAGAAGCGAGGAATATTTCGAGGGTGAGGATGTCGATGGGCAAGAGGACGAGGAGACGTAGACTTGGAAGTTTACAGGTTGCGGGAGGGACTTTGCGGTTGGCGATATTGGCGCCGAGGGAGCCAAAGTTACCAAAGGTGTGGACTCAGCCTACACCATGTGTAAGAAGGCATCAAGTTGGGGCTTCCCTCGTTCCAGCGACCCAAGAGCGAGCGGATATTACGGCGATAATCACTGGGTTATCCAGGGAGCGAAGGAATTCCTGGGCGATTGAAACTACTGGGCATCGAGGCAATATTTTATATATAAGAACCTTGGCTGCTTGCGTTGCCATTATTTTCACGGGGGATTGGAATCTCCATGGTATGTTTTCATTGAAGGGATGGTTGGGATCGGATCTTACACCCAATGTAGCTTGTATTAATGTCAGGTGTTGGGGAAGTACCCTCAATTAAAATCGGACTGATAGCTTGCGTCGCGCTTTTTTAACCACTCGTCATAGCTGATGACGGCTTAGACCCCCAGGGGCGAGAACTGTTTGGGTTGCCATCATGCTGAAGAATGGAAGAGAAACTGATCGTTTATAGCGAAGCTCCCTGTAAGTGCATGTCTCAAGCCAAGCTTCAGGGGAGGGCCCACAGCGCCAAGTCCTGTCAAATTGTTCTCCAACCCTCAACACCGCTCCCAGGCTTTCACTGTTGCCAAGGATTCTGTAAGCCTCAAGATTTATCTCAGCTTACAGATGCATCTCACAACTCGTTGCTTGCGCTAGCTGTGAACACGATCAAGTCGTCGTTAACTCACTTTCCCAGTTCCGGACTGTCATGGACCGCTGCGCACAGGCAATTACAGTACCAGGGTCGTTTGCTGTCGTGTGAATCCACTCGCCACGCCACTCATGGTTTACTGAGAAATCCAAAATCTGCTTCCCCAAAATATCGCCAACCCAATCCTAACCAGGAATCACAAACCAAATCCCAAAATGGCAAAGAAGGGAAAAAACACCAACAGCGCCCCGGCGTCCACACCGTCTGCCGCTCCTGCCAAAACCAACAAGAAGGATGCCAAGACGAAAGCCCCTTCTGAAGGGGATTTTATCGTCTTCACCAACTCAGACAAGGATCCCAAAGGCCGACGAGGTGGCGGCGGCGGCCCCTCCAACGCCAGCACCACGACGCCTAATAGTGGAAACCCCTCAGAAACTCCCGATGGGCCGCCTCGCCCAACTGCCCGACAGCTCATCGGCGGTGCTTCTTGGACTGGCAAGCTTCCTGTGAACCTGCTTTCAGAGCACTGCCAAAAGCAAAAGTGGGAGCGTCCTGACTATAACACTATCAAGACAAAGGAGGGCTTCTCTGTTTTTACCAGCCTCGCCGCCAAAAACCCCAAGACCGGCGAGGTCACCCGTCTACCACCCTTCAAGCTGCCCCCGAGCCACGTGCACTTGGCATACAAGCCGACTGCCCTCGAGGCGAAGCACTTTGCCGCCACCTACGCGCTGTATCGCGTGTGCAACATGAAGAACATACACATCTCGCTACCGCCAGACTACAAGGCGTTGTGGAAGGATTTTGAAGCCCTCAAGAAGCAGGATGTGAAGGAAGGCAAGGGCTGGATGTACGAGGCCGATCCGTTCCAGGCAGCAAGGGAGCGAGAAGAAGCCAAGGCGACCGCCGAGAAGAAGAAGGCACAGGCCCAGGCATCGAGGGAGAAGGCTGCTGAGGGGAACCAGGGCGGGATGTCACTCGCTTTCAGGGGTAGTGGCGGCGGCGGAGGTGGGGCGCATTCTCTTATGAGGGGCTGGGCGACGGTGCCCAAGATCGAGATGGGGAATAGGACGCGGTCGCAGCTCGAGGATTTGTTGCGGAGGGAGACGGTCTGGAATCCCCATGGCGTGGTCATGCCGCCGGACCAAAAGGCGGCGATTGTGAAGGAGTTCAAGGAGTTGGGGTTCCGCCAAAGCCACGCCGAAGAGGCGGTGGAGGAGTGTAAAGACCGTGAGGAGACGCTCGAGTGGCTGCTTGTGCACATCCCAGAGGACGACCTACCGCGGTGGGCCCTCCCCGAGAAGTACACTGCCGGTGTAACGGTGGCAGCTACCGATCTGCGGAGAGAAGGCGCCATAAAGCGCCTCACGGAGTCTGGGTACTCGATTGATCTCTGTCGCCGGATTCTGGACGCCAACGGTGGTGATGAGGGCAAGGCTGCTGAGGCCTTGCAAACATTGCTGCTGTCGAGTGGTACAGGTCAGGGTGCAGCCCACGATGAGGAAATCGACTCGTGGAGGACCCCCGACGAGAGTTGGGACGAGGAAATGGCAACCCTGGAAGCCAGTTTTGGGGACAAATACACTCGCACTTCACCCGAAGTATGTCAGATACGGCTTGAATCGGTGGTCAACGGAGCCAATACCGATGTCGAGACGTACCTGCAATTCCGAAAGACGCCCCAGTATCCGACTCATGTCGTCGTGTCGGTTGCAGCCCCGCTGCCGGCCTACATCAAGTTGAGCGTCATCAAGAAAGCGCTTGCGTACGCAAGCGAATCGCTGCAAGGCGAGGAAGCGAAAATTTACTATCTCGTAAGTTGGGTACAGGAGAGTATCAACGAGATTATTGAACGACCGGGAGCCCTCAGGGATGTTGCTGCTGTCTCATCAGCCGCTTCCGAGGAGCCCACGATGGTTGCCACTAAAACAGCGCGGCGGAGACCCCGGTACCCGGAACCCATCAACTGGACGCCGAATCCTCGCAGCAGGCAAGAATGGGTGGCGAGGACAGAGGCGCTTAACTACAAAAAGATGCTGTCCCAGCGCGAGCGTTTGCCGGCGTGGCAGGTTAGGGCCGATGTCATTCGGACTGTTTCCGAGAACCAGGTCACCATCATCTCCGGCGAGACCGGTTCCGGCAAGTCAACCCAGTCGGTACAATTTATTCTGGACGATTTGTATAGCAAAGGCCTGGGAGGAGGAGCAAACATCATCGTCACACAACCACGCCGTATCTCTGCGCTGGGTCTTGCCGACCGTGTCGCCGAGGAGCGATGCACTCAGGTTGGGCAGGAAGTCGGTTATACGATACGCGGCGAGAGCAGAACCAGCCCAATCACCAAAATTACCTTCGTGACGACTGGTGTACTACTAAGGCGCCTCCAAACTTCGGGTGGTCGTGTTGAAGATGTGGTGTCCTCATTGGCGGATGTTAGCCATGTCGTGGTTGATGAAGTTCACGAGCGTAGCCTGGATACCGACTTCCTCTTGAGCATCATTCGTGATGTCCTTTACAAGCGGCAAGATCTGAAGCTCATCCTCATGAGCGCCACCCTAGACGCAGCTTCCTTCAGAGACTACTTCATGGCGGATCAGCAGAATGTTACCGTTGGCTTGGTTGAGATCTCGGGCCGCACATACCCAGTCCAGGACTACTACCTCGACGACGTGATTCGGATGACAGGTTTCAGCGTTGGGAATAGGTATGACTATTATGATGATGGGGCTAGCACACCCTCTGGAGACCAGGCGGACCCCATCAACAAGGTTATCCAGAAACTTGGCACCCGCATCAACTACGACCTGCTATTCGAGACGGTCAAGAGCATCGACGAGGATCTATCGTCGAGGCAAAAGCTAGGCGGCATCCTAATCTTCCTACCTGGCGTAGCCGAGATCAACCGCGCATGCAACGCCCTACGATCAGCACCATCGCTTCACGTTTTACCTTTACATGCGTCCCTAGAGACTAGGGAGCAGAAGAAAGTCTTTGCCACCGCACCGCAAGGCCGGAGGAAGGTGGTTGTCGCCACCAATGTGGCAGAGACATCCATCACCATCGATGACATCGTCGCCGTCATTGATAGCGGCAGAGTCAAGGAGATCTCATTTGACCCAGCAAACAACATGCGCAAATTGGAGGAGACTTGGGCGTCTCTCGCCGCCTGCAAGCAGCGCCGCGGCCGTGCTGGCCGTGTCCAAGCCGGTAAATGCTACAAACTCTACACACGCAATCTCGAACATCAAATGGCCGAGCGCCCGGAACCGGAAATCCGACGCGTACCGCTTGAACAACTCAGCCTCGCTGTCCGTGCCATGGGCATTCGAGATATCAGTCATTTTCTCGCGCGCGCGCCCACACCACCGGAGGCGACCGCTGTGGAGGGGGCGATTACCATGCTCCGGCGGATGGGCGCCCTAGATGGCGACGAGCTAACGGCCCTCGGTCAGCAGCTGGCTATGATACCTGCAGATCTGCGCTGCGGCAAACTGATGGTTTACGGCGCCATCTTCGGTTGCCTCGACGACTGTGTTACCATCGCTGCCATCCTGAGCACGAAGAGCCCGTTCCTCTCGCCGGCCGAAAAACGTGGCGAGGCGAAGGAGGCAAAAATGCGCTTTGCTCGCGGGGATGGTGACTTGCTCACCGACCTTCGGGCATACCAGGAATGGGACAACATGATGGCCGACCGCTCCATCCAGCACCGCAGAGTCCGGCAGTGGTGCGATGAGAACTTCCTTTCATTCCCCACGCTATCGGACATCGCATCGACCAGATCGCAGTACTACACCTCGCTGTCCGAAATGGGCATCCGCCCTTCTACCTCCCAACCCTCGGCATCCACTCCGCTCCTCCGCGCACTCACAGCGTCTGCCTTTGCGCCCCAGCTCTGCCGTATCCAGTTCCCCGACAAGAAGTTCGCGACCTCGGTCTCCGGTGCGGTCGAACTCGACCCCGAGGCCAAGACGATCAAGTATTTCTCGCAAGACCACGGCCGTGTCTTTATTCACCCGTCCAGCACCATGTTTGACAGTCAGGGGTTTTCTGGGAGCGCGGCGTTCGTGTCATATTTCAATATGATGGCCACGAGCAAGGTTTTTGTGCGGGATTTGACACGTGAGTTCTCCTCTCTTACCCTTTCTGCCCCCCCAAAAGCTTCAATACATACAAACCACCCTCCTACCCCCATCCAACCACCCAATCATCATCGCAACCTGCCAACTAACCAACCCCTGCTACAGCATTCAACGCCTACACCCTCCTCCTCTTTACTGGCGACATCGCGCTTGACACGCAGGGTCGCGGGTTGCTGGTAGACGGCTGGTTGCGGCTGCGCGGATGGGCGCGTATCGGCGTGCTGGTATCGCGGCTCCGTGGGGTCATCGACCGGCTGATCGAACGGCGTATCGAGAACCCGGCCACGTTCGACTCGTCAGAGGGGCCCGGGGTCGGGGCCGAAATCATCCGGCTTGTCACGCGGCTGATTGAGTTGGATGGGATGGATGCGTGATTGAGATTCACGTTTCTTCGTTGTTGTTACTGCTGGTTGCCGTTCTAGGTTGGAGCTTGATGGGTTTTGGCTGCTAGGCCGGTTGTTTGGCTGTTCTCGAATGGCGGGAACCGAGGCAATCGGCTGGTTCAATAACGTGTTGTTTAGCTAGATATACATACATGGGCATCTTAAAAGCATGGTTAGCAATTGGCTCGTATGGGCGGTGGAAATAGACGAATTGGGTCAGAAGTGTTGACAGCGGGCGTTTGATTCTGATTGTGCCGACGTGTCTGAACCAGTGTACGCACACACACACATGTTCACACACCCAGCCCATACACATCTATGACCTCCGCTTGACACACCTATTCTCTTCGTAATTCATGTCAACGTTGCCGTGGCTTCATTTGTCTGTCTGTAGGGAGTTACTAGTAGTCCATATACCAGCCGCCCCATACATCCCGTCATCAAAAACCTGTCTCGGTTTGTCCTGTCGCCCACCACTTGATGGGGTCAGTGGCCAAACACAAGTATCCACGGCAGCCACCTCTCTTGCGGCCATGCACTAGCAATGGCCGGCCCTGAGGCGACACATGCGCCCTGGATTGGGCCACATCAGCTCCTGTTTCACCTCCGGCGCGGCGCGGCTCGTGCACCCCCGCCGTCTTCGTCATAGGGTAGGAGCTATCAAGCTACCATTCAGACCCTTTCCTCCTTCCTGTGCTACTCATAAGACGCATCCATGTTTTCACCAGGCTGGAGCTATCAAGCTACCAAAGGACCTGGCCGCTCCCTCTATGCTGTTATTCCATGGGTTGTCGATAAAACAAAATTAAGGTAAAGCTTGTTGGGCTGTGGGGTGGTGATGTCGAGGGGTACGTTTGGGGTTAAGGGCTGGTGGTGTTTGCCGAAAGCATAGATGTGCCCTGTTTTCGGAGTCCGGTGGAAAACGCAGCGGGACGGTGGGAAGGTCAGTCTTGCATGGCCGGGGCAAGGGAGGGGCTTAGTAACTCCAGGAAGGCCGATAGCATATCGAGCCCATCCCTTCACCACCTAGCCCGCCGTATCCTCCCTTAACCAAACTTTTACATATCCATCGATTCAGCGCCATTCCCGCCGAAGTTGAAGCCGCCCTGCTGAGAGCCGTTCGCGGCACCAAAGCCAAACTGTTGGTTTTGGCCCATGGCATCGTCGGCAGCATTCTCCTCCTCATCCGAGAAATACTTCTCGATGATGTTGTAGGCTTTCATGTAAATCTCTTCGTTGGCGTTGGTCTGGCAATCATGGATCTTCTCCATACCGCCACACTCCTCGATGAACAGCGCATAACGGTTGATCGAATCGGAGCCCTCGCCAGAGGCCTGTTTGTCGAGATCTCCAACCTTGAGGATGTTCTCGAGACCGTCCAGAGCGACCTGAATGATCTTGTTATCAGGGCAAGCAAGGAGGTCGCACAGCGGCCTGATGCAGCCATGGTTAACCAGATATCGAATCTGCTCAGGCTTCTGCAGGCCGCCCGAGGTGGCGTTGCTGATCGCCCAGCACGCCTCCTTGCGAGTCTTCAAGTCGCCATTGGTGAGCAAGTGGATGAGAGGCGGAATGATATTGGCATCAATGACAGCTTGGATCTGTGCAGAGTTCCCGGCGGTAATGTTAGAGATAGTCCAGCAAGCCTCCTTACGAATTCCGTCCTTATTGCTGCTCAGCAGTGAGAGTAGGCAGGGCAAGGCGCCGCAGTTAATGATGACTTGGGTTTGCACATCGTCGCCGGTGACGATGTTGCCGACCGAGCGGAGGGCGGGAGTTTGGACCGAGGTCGACGCATGCATGAGAAGCTCGACCAGCCGGCGCGGGATGCCCGCTTCGATCACGGATTGGATCTTGTCATTGGAGCCGTCGGACAGGTATGAGATGGCCCAGCAGGCGTCAATCAGGACCTCATCATCCAGAGAATACACGAGCTTAGCGAGAATCGGAAGTGCGGGCTGAATCTGGGACACATTAGCATCACGTGATAGCGAAGAGCAGCGGGGAAGAGGGCTGTCGACGCACCGTATTCCAATCAGGTTGGGGCGTCTTGCCACGGCAGAAGTTGCTCAAGGTCCAGGTAGCATTACGAAGCATGCTCAACTTGCGGCTGTCCCCAAGGAGGTTGAGCAAGGGGCGCAGAGCGCCCTGGCCCAGGACGTAATCTCTGCACTGCGGGCTGTCGCCAGCAATGTTGCCAAGAGCCCAAACGGCCTGCTCACGTACGTCGGGCTCAGGGCTGTTGAGGAGCTCAACAAAAATGGGCACAGCGCCGGCCTCAATGACCACTTGGGTCTGTGTCGCGGAGCCAGACGCGATGTTGGTAAGGGCCCAGGCAGCCTCGAACTGGACAAGGGTATGGGGCGACCGCAGAAACTCGACAAAACGGCTCACGACACCAGTCTTGATCACCTCTTCGATAGGAGGGTTTCGCTCTTTGCTAAGCAGTTTCCGGAATTTTGTCGTAGCTTGAATCTGGAGGTCGATCTGGTCCGAGAAGACGCCGGCAACCATCTGGGGGAGGTCCTCGTTAAGCTGCGCAACTCAAGTTAGCATACGAGTTTGGTGGCAGCAGGTGTACTAAGGAATGGGCAGGCAGTGGGAAAAGCTGTTGAATGATGTATTGCTACAGTATTGCTGTGATGCGATGATGTTGGTGTAGCATGTGGTGCGGGCGGTGCCGAATGCGGACCGGGTCTCACCAGCAGTGACCACAACAGGCGGCGGGGTACAAGTGGGGTGAATGCATCATGGGAGCTGCAGCTCTTGGATGCGGAGAGTCGATGACGAGCGATGGCATGTGCATTTGGGACAGGACAGGGGAGATGACATACCTGAGACTCGCTCGGCGGGTTTTCATCGTCGCTATCGGGGGCAGCACCCAAGGAAGCACCCGGGCGGTCATCGCCAGTGCCAATACCACGGCGCTTGGCCAGGTTCTCCTCACGCTTCGCCTTGCGGATTTCGACCTGCTGCTCCTCACGGCGGCGACGCAGCTCCTCGGGCTTGAAGGTGCTCTTCGCCTTAAACTGGGTGCGACGGTGCTCGGGAATGTATCGTTCGGCCATGGCTGCGATTGTCGGTCGCCGTTGACGACTTGAGCTTGGGCGATGGAGGGGGGGAGCGGGCGGCGATCACTGAAACACGGCAACGAAAACCGCGACGGTGATGTCAAAATAAAATAAATGAAGATTTGCGCTGGAAATCAGGTTGCCACAGCGTTGAGAAAGCTATGTTGGTGTGGCCCAGCACTTGGTTTTCTGAAAGGAATGGGTGGAAGAGTTTGTGATTGTTTTTGGACAATGAAAGAATTTGGAGACGCAGAAACTGGAAACAGAACGGGGCCTCTTGTCCCTCTCAGTGTGTTTGACTGGGATGGGGGGGAGCAGCCCAGTTTTACGCCCCACCAAGGCCCGAGTCATCGGCAGCTGATTGGCGCTTCAGACTTAAAGGCACCAGCAGCGGGGCATTGCTCAAAGAAAGACCCACGTGTGAAGCACGGACCTAGCAGCGGGGTCAGATCGCATGTGCACATGAAATGGCGAGTGAATGGCGATTCAGGGGGATTGGTCATTCCTCAAGACGCGTTTGCAGTCGCGTTGCAGCAGCAACACCATCACCAGCACACCGAACCAAAATCTACAGAGAACCATGAACTTGGGACTTTAGTTCTAGCTCAATGTCACTCATTTATGGAAAAACCAAGTACTTTACTTTCTATCTCCAGTTCTTAGCGCCTTCTCACAACAATGCCCGTGGGGGCTTCCCGGAAGAAGAGCAAGGGGCTGGGAGGTTCCACCCCATCGGAGCCCTCTCTTCCCCCCAAGTTCATCAATCTTCAGGCCATTTTGGAAGAGGACGTATCTCTAGGGAGTCTTGTCAATGTCGTCGGCGTGGTGAAAGACTGGCGCCTTCCCATACCAACCGGTGGCACTGGTGAGTTGCATTTGTTTGCAGTTCCTATTCAGAGTCGGTTGTCTAACACATTGGCAGACCACAAATCTAGCATCGCCCTGTACGATCTCTCCATTGAGGATGAGAACAATGGCCTCGAGTTTGTCATTTTCCGTCCAGAAGCCTGTATGCCCCAAGTCGATGTGGGTGATGTTGTCCTCGTAACCGCTGCCAAGGTGCAGAAATACCAATCCAACCCCTTTTCCCTCATCACCAACCATGCAACTTCAATCCGAGTGTACAAGGCTTCCAAGATTCCGAAACACCCTCAATCCGCCAAAATCGCCTTAGAACCGGCTTCAAAGCGAGATGGCCATGTGCCCAGCCCCGAGGAGACCGCCTATGTCTCGCACATACACCACAAGATTGATAAGTGTTTCCTCCCCGAAGAGACCAAGTTCCAAGCCAGAGCGGCACAGTCCCTCAATACTAGACGGAAATTCGGCTTGCTTGAAGATGTGGAAGCGGGCAAGTTCTACGACTTGATTGTACACGTGGCCAGAGAACCCTACGCCGGCTTCGATCTAGCTACTCTGTATGTCTCGGATTACACCGAGAACACACACTTCCACCCAAAAGCATGGGAAGGGCTGTCAGAATTGGCATCGGGCGTTGATCCGTACGGGTACACCACGGGCGGCGCTAATATACCCCGCGAAGATTGGATCGGGCCGTACGGGAAAAAGTCTCTTCAGGTCACCTGCTTCGAACCTCACGCAAGTTACATCCGTGACGAAGTAAAAGCGGGGCAATGGGTCAGTCTGCGCAATGTTCAAATCAAGTACGGCAGAGATGGCCAGTTCCTCGAAGGCTTCATGCGCGGCAACCCAACAATCAACGTGTATGTTCTCGATACCGGAGACCCCGACACAATAGACCCGAACCTGAAAGGAGGCGCTCCGCCGATGCCGCGACTACCACAAGATGAAGAAACGGCAGATCAAGGAGGTCAAATCCGCCCAAATAGCGGGACTGAAGCGAAAGGGCTTCCGCTTCGTCAGGTCAAGAGGCTCCCCCGATCAACGGGAATAGAACGCCGGCGTCGAGGCCCGCCGAGCCGATAAAACGTCAGGGGGCGGACGAGCCGCTTGACAAACAGGAACCGCAACCCAATCTCAACCACCACGTCACTTGCGAAACACGCGACGCACCCAACTCTACTATCGCATCCATCCTTCGGCCGACAGTGCATGAGATAACGACCAAGAACCAAAACACCCACCCTGGTGTTACCTTTCATCTGCGCCAAGTTTAAAGCTTCTGCTCGCGTGGTCGACTTTTTCCCGGCCTCGCTGGAAGACTTTGCTTATGGGCGGAGACAAACCGAGTACGATGTGCTCTCTGACAACGAGGAAGACAGCGAGGGTCCTTCGTCATCCGATGACGAGGAGACCTCCAGAAGTCAGCGGGTCTGGGAATGGCGCTTCGCCTTGCAGCTCGAAGACCCAACCCCTTCTGATCACGCAAAGGGCGCGCCGCCGCCGCCGCGCCTCTGGGTCCTTGTTGACAACCTCGAAGCACAATGCCTGACGGGTCTTGATGCGGCCGACCTGCGCCAGGACACAGACACGCTCAACAAGTTGCGCAAGCGCATGTTCACGCTGTGGGGAAATCTGGAGGAGCTCAAGACTCAGGCCGCGGGGAGGAAACAAATGGAGCAAGAGACCGAGGATGGTAATCACCACCGGTTCAGGGGCGCTGGAAAATCCCAGCCACGGCTCCCGAAACCGCCGCTGCAGAGCTCCCACCCCGAAATCGAGGGCGAGGGCGACGGGAAGGCAGTCTCGAACATCCCCTTTACTTGCTGCATTAAGCAGTATGGAGTCTACGAAGGAAAGGAACGCGAAGGTCGGTGGGTACGGTGTTTTGGGCTTTTTGGGACCAAGATTCATGACTGAGGATTGTGATTACGAATTGGTTCGGCGAAATGTATGTGATTAGACACGTATGGCGCTTCTGAAGTTTGGCCAAAATAGCCGGTGATGGTGGTGTTCATGACTGCCTTAGATTTCCACCAACGACCCCTTGCTGGGTTGAGAGGCGATTTTGAGTTGGTTCTTTCGTCCCTCGAATACACATACGATACTGCAAGTGGTATTCAAGTTGCGAGACCAGCGAAGTAGAGCCGCCCAACAAATACCTAGAAACGACTCTACAGAAGCAAAGAATAATAGTGGTATGAACGAAAGCCCAAGCCCAATCTCATCACCCATACTCATGATACAACCGCCCCGCCGCGTCAGGCGGGAGGCGAACACGAAAACAGATACATCCCAGTGAAACCCAAGCACAAGCCCCTGCCTCAATCCCCTAATACCGACTCATCTTCGTCCATCTTGTCTCCCCCACCATCACCGTCCTCTAGTTCCTCATCCTCAATTGGGTCATCCAACAACTCCCGTCTCCTCAGGTCCTCCATCGACCCCTCCTCCGGCTCGGGTTCCGCCTCCTCAACCTCGGACAAATCCGAGTCATCATCCTCAACAACAATCTCCTCACTCAGCGCCGCCCTCTTCGACCCCGCCGCCGTCGACGCACTAGTGCCATTCCCAGCAGTACCCGCCGCGGCAGCCTTCGTTTTAGCAATAGACGCAGCAGCCTTCCCCTTCCCCTTGTCCCTTTTCCTCCCTACAGCACCGCCACCACCAGCGGCCACCCGCTCCCTCAACTTGGGCCTCGTCTAGGAACCCAACCGTCTCCCTCAGGTTCCCACCTAGCCTGGCCTGGTTTCGCACCATCCTGCGACGGAGCTTGCCAGCCTGCGGGCCGATCTGGTCGACCGTCTTTGCGAGAATTGCGAGCACTAGTTTACCCGCCAGCTCGCACAGCGCGCGCTCTAGCTTGAGCTCCTTGCCTTTGCGCTCGGTTGGGCTCATGGCGGCGTCGGCAGCAGCTTCTTCCTCGTCCTCTTCATCATCGTCATCACCGTCGTCGTCGTCGTCGCCCCCGTTCGGCGGCTGCGTCGGGTCCTGCTGTTGCTGCCTCCGTTGTTCATCGGCTGTAGGCTCGTTGAGAGCGCGCTTCGTGATACGCGCGTACGCGCGCTCGGCAGCGTTATAAATCTCGATGAGCTCGTTGGTGAGGCCTGGCTGGATGGGTTCGTAAAGGGGTTCTAGTTCCCGGTAGTCGTGGCGCGACTCCTGCTGCTGGTGCTGCTGGTTGACGGTCTCCCGGAGGGAGGCGAACAGCACATGTAGGTCGCAGAGGGCTCCGGTGGCGAAGAGCCGCAGCTCGTCATTCGTGCCGCGAGAAGAGAGCGTCCAGATCAGGTTGTCAGCGCAGGTCTGGCGGAGGGTGGACAGGCGTTCGATTGTGCGAATAGGGATGTTCGTGGATGATTGGACGGCGGAGACCAGGGTGCGGACTTTCCACATGAAGTAGAAATGGGCTGCTTGGATCGCGTATGAGACAGCTTCATCTTCGAGATCGTCAAGAGCCTCGTCGACTTGGTCGAGTTTGCCGCGGTGGATAGTGCAAATGAGGAGTTCTATGACCGGGTTGGAGGAGTCTTCGGACTGGCCATCAGCTTCGAGAACCTCGATGCAATCGGCAATGCTGGTGAGTTTGCTGATCTTGAGAAGAATGGTGCCGAGCTGGGAGATGGCTGCGGGCCCCATGTTTCCGCGGTGGTTGAGCTCTTGCGTCTTGTCCAGATGCCGAAGCGCGTTGATCACCGTTTCCCAAAGGTCGGCAATCTTCGTATCCGTCATCTCCTCCAGCTCGTCATATTTGCGAGCGTGCAGTAGCGCTGTTGTCGCCTCCGCGAGCACGCCTCTATCAGCGTGACGTTCGAATTGAGTGCAAATCTCATCTAGTAGGCGGCTGTATGTAGTCGAGTCTTGCCGAAGTTGCTGGAACACGTCGAGGGGCAAGAAATGCTCCAGGCGCAATACAACGATTGCGGTGCTCGCTTCGGCGCCATATTTGTTCAAGAGGCGGGGAATGATGCTGGCTAGGTGGACGGCGGAATCTTCAGCACCGTCTGCAACGTCTGGGCGCTGTTTCCTCCTGCTCCTGTCTGTCTCTGAAGTAGAAGCTAGGCTAAGCCTAACAGCAGAGGCAAGGACCTCAAGAAGCACCGGCTCTTCATTCCCTTCTGGCGCAACAGCGCTCTTGAGCGTTGCCTCGTTAGAGGTTCGCTTCGATGATGATCGCGATTTTGTACTTGTCGTGTGATCATAAAGCAGGTAACCAGATAGGAGCTCCCAGTTCTTGACCTGGTCAATCTTTTCGTACAGGACCTGAGCAGCCAGTGAAATCTGGTTCTCGGGCGCCACAGCCTGGATCATCTCAACGGCAATATCTAGGCCACGGACTGGCAATGTCTGGTTTTCCTCCTCGAGTTGGGCGTCGTATGCCGCGAGGAGCTCGGCGAGGCATTTGATGCTGATCCAGTCTCTCCGAGGAGAAAAGTAGTCGTCATCCTCGTCATCCCCGAAGAGCTCGTCGACCATATCACTGCCTCCCAACTCCTCCATCTTGGTCTCGATCGAGTCGTTCACGCAGCCGGCGAAGAAATCAATGACCGCTCTTCGCACGCGCAGTTCAGAGTCGAAGATTAGCCGGCCAATCGAGTCGATCTCGTCGGGCTCAAGCATCCCCGTGTCCTTGAGGATTTGGATGACCGAGATGGCTACAACCCGGACGCCAACGTCAGCGTCCTTAGTAGCCATCTCGACGAGGCGTGGTCGGAAGCGGTCGATGAAATGGCCAAGCTTCTCAGCATCACGCTTTAGAATACGAGCAAGCTGTTTCAACACCTCCTGCCTGGTCTGTGATGTAATATCAGACAGCATCCAACCCAGGTACCGTAGATACTCGGGCTTCTCAAAAAATGTGGGAAGGAACCAAATCCAGGTCCCGAGGGCCTCGACACACTCGGTCCGGATCTTGGCGTCGATGTCACGGTATCGGTGGACGAATACCGTCTCGAAAAAATCCGTAACCTGCTCCTGGCAAAGCTGTCGGTTTTGTTCAGCTTCGTCGAGGGTTTTCTGAATCACGGCCAGTCGTTCCTTGTTTTTCCCTTTGCGGCCCTTTTCGGTGTCGACCTGCTGGGTCATCTTGGTTATCCGATCATCGAGCTTCCTGGCAACTTCGACGAGGGCGGCCTCCATCGCGAGCGCGACAGTGGTCGCTGTGTGTCTAAACGGCCGCAGTGTCGATGAAGACATGGAGGCGACCCAGCGCGCGATGTTCTCCATCAAGGTGCTGTCTTTGTAAAGAACGTCGGTTTCGTGAAGAACGGTCACAAGAGACCTGAAGAAGCCGACCAGCAAGTCGCGGAACGACTTGGTCGACTTGGCCTTGGAGATAAGGGGGTAGTCGGTAATTCCCTCCTGTAACAGCCGACGTTAGCATGGCGCAGCGCCTGACACACCCACAAAAGCTTAACATACCTCGGTGTAAACATTCTGTAGATCTGCTAGCCTGTTGGAGCAGTTCTCGGGATCTCGGATGTCGTCTTGGGTGACCTGCTGGTCGCACCCGGCGGACAGCAGGATGCAGTTGACCAGGTCTGTGACGGCGGCAGCATCATCCTCTTGGTACTTGTGGTACCATTCGGTGGCTACCTTATCTGGAAGATCTCCGGAGGCAAAGATATCGGCTGTGAGCATGGTTAGCATCGCACGAGTAGCGCGGGCATAGCTTCGGGAAGGGCACCCACCATAAAGTCCCTTCGCGTCGCCCTGGGCAATCGCAATTCGCACCGCCTTCTTCGGGCGACTCGGTAGTTGTGCTCCATGGATAGGTTCACTTGCTAGGGCGCTGCCGTTGATCTTGGGCTTTTTCGCAGCCGGTTTTCTCGACTTTGCGGCGTGCGACGATGAAGGCTTCTTTTTCTTGCTGGCACGGCGGGGCTCCTCGGTAGCAGTATCGTCGGCGTCATCATCATTAGAATCGCTAACATCATCTATCTCATCGGGCGACTCGTTCTCTGCGTCATCATCGTCGTGTTCGGCATTCCGCTTCCGCTTGGTAGCGGCGGGCGCATCCGGTGTGAATTTGGCGGGTGCCTTCGTGACGCGTCCGGATCGACGCGCGGTAGAAGTTGGAGCGGGTGAGCTCGTCGGGGTATTGTCTGAGGTTTCCATGAGTGGTTGCCGTCCAAACACTATTACATTTGGTGTGTGGATGAGAAGGTCGTGTCGAGAGAGGGCGCTGGGTTTTGGTTCGTTTTCGGCAATTGACGCGTCGAGCGACCACCCAAATCGCCAGATTATTTTGGCGGATTGGCGCATTCACGCCTGGTCGACCCACAATGTCCTGCCAAGCCAAGCGCAATGCAATTGTATGCAACTACAGGAACATGTACCTATCGATGGAACAACCAACAGGTCAAGTGCTTTCTTTATAGAGGATGTTGAAAGTATTAGTGTATTGGCGGCCTTTCCATATTCCGTAAATTAGTATTGAAAATAACTTTGATATTATTGGATGGCTATAATTGCTTGGTCGCCGGCGGACGACTTTGACCATCAGCAGGAGACGCTATTCCGGAACGAAACCCTAAGGAGGCACGACGGTCTCAGCAAGGCGAAGAGCTCACTGCTGATTCAAATCCGGACGGGAGTAATAGGCTTACGGGACTTCTTGTTTACACGGGGAGTCCCGGAGGTTCTGACTCCTGCCTGCGAGTGTTGCGAGGGACGAGAGACTGCCGAACACCTGGTAGTGTGGTGTTTGGCTCCACCGTTGACTCGAAGATGGGAGAGAACTGGAATTCGGACACGACGGGACTTGTACTCTGTTCTACACGGCATCAATCCCACGACTGCACGGCTCGCGAGGAGAGTCCTCGACTGGCTGATGGACTCGGGGAAGCTGCCGATGTACAACTTAGCCAGGAGGCTCGAGCTGGAAGCGGCGGCCCGAAGCGCCCCCGTTCGGAGGCCAGGAGGCCTCCTCTCTTTGTATACGCAGACTCACCAGAACGCATCGTTCTTTGAATGTTGGTATGGGTTTTTCACCCGGCCCGGGAGGGCACGGTTTTCCTGTACACTAAATAGCTGAGGGTCCGGCACGCCCTAGGCATAGCGGAGTGTGAATAATAATATAATTGCTTGGTCTTGGTCAGATATCGTCACCATGTGGGTAAATCTGCCGCTTTACTGCTGGAAGAACTGAGGAACTTTCAGTATAGAGGTGATAATCCTCCAGGTAGGTTTCGTAGGGCGATCATGGAATTTCTAACTTCGTCAAGGGGAAGGGAGTTACCACCTCAGGCACATCAGCGCCTGCTCGCCAAAATTTTGTGCGATGCTGCCTTCTTTGGTCAACATGGATCCGACCCAAAGTCGGCCAGCCTCGACGGTAGGAGCACCGAACTTGACCACAACACAACCCCTGACACTGGCCGCAGACCACAGCACCTTGTTATCCTTCTCCTTCTGATGTCTTTCTGCCCGCCACTTATCAAGGGGTGATAGGCGATCAACCGAGTCCTTCGAATCCTTTGCGTCGTCATTTCGCCAGTCCCGAGCCCCAAGTCGAGGGAGAGCACCGAATTCAGCGAGGAAGAACTCCCCAACTGACTTCATCAAAGGGCCCCGCAAAATGAGAGTCCCGAATACGCTATGCCCGTTCATAGACTCGCACAAAACCGGGAGTTGGGGGTGGACTCTCTTGCTATCAAGGATTGCGACATCTCTCACGAGCAACCGATCCTGAACGCCCTGGTCCTCGGCCACCGTCCAGACCTCGTTGCGGCCCACCCATTTGACGAAGCTCCAGTGCTCCCCAAGGGCAGTTCGCCCCTCGGTGACCCAATCCAGAAGGCACAACGATGCGTTTTGTGCTAGCCTGAAGATCTGGATTTGCTCGTAGACACTGCGCGCAAAAGGCTGAACCGGATCTGGGAGGAGGCAGACGGCGGCACCGGTAGCAATGTTGACGCGCATTATCTGGCGAGTGACGATATCCGGGCTTGCTGACTTGAAGATCTTGGTGTGCCCCTGCGTGGCCAAACTCAGCCTGGCACCGGTTTTGACTTCGATGGTCAAGTTGACTTGGTCGCCCCCAACTAAACCACCCCCGTATGATAGCAAGTACACGAGAGCGCTGGTTTGGGGGGGCCGTTTCGGGGTGACGAGCTTGAGCGGGTACTGGTATTCGAAAGTCTCAAGATCGGAAACGCCTGTGGGGAGGCGCCGGACGATGATACATCCCTTGCCATCGGCAGAGGAGGATTTGGGGAATGGAGAATTCATGATGCTTGTCACCTCATGCCTATTTTGAGGGCATCCGAGCCGTAATACGCCAAAACGGAGCAAGAACGTCAGGTGAGCGGGCAACGGGAGAACCTGGAAGACTCGGGGGCACACTACCAAAAACTTGGTAGCTGAGGTTCGAATCATGCCAAGACCTCGAAGTCCCAGTGCCCACACACCCACACACAACCCTTATCGCACATGCCCCGCTCTGGCGCTTGATCCACCTTTGATCCCTGCTGCCATGCTGACCTTGGTGGGGCAGTCAAGAAATGCAACGGACAAACGCGACTCTTTCCTTGCCTTCTCCCATTTACAAATTCGCACCGACCATCACGACCACTAGAACCGATCATAGATGCCTCCGAAACCGACAACACGAGGGCGAGGCCGCGGCCGTGGTCGGGGAGGTGCAGCCCGTGGCGCGACTTCCGCTGCGGCTTCCCAGGATGTTGCGCAACTGTCAGAAGCCGAACCGACTCCCTCGACGACAGCAGGCGCCGCCAACCCTTCAAGCTCTGCACTTATTCCGGTAATGACAATATCTTCCGAGTCAACGCCAGAGGTTTCCACACCCTCGGCGTCTTCCAGAGTACCCAGCACCACTCCCGGGCCGAGCTCGTCGACTCGTGCATCTACCACCAACAAGTTCAAACCTAAGGCTGTCCGTCGGAGTGAAACAGAGCGCGCCCGCTTAGCCGAGGAACAATCGAGGATACAGGAGCAGAGGAATGCCGAGGAGGCAAGGCGATTAGCCCGGCTCAACCGTGGCCGAGGTCGGGGGCGTGGTCGCGGCCGTGGAGGGTTACTCCGTGGGAACTTGAGGAGTTCCACTGCCGCGGGGCCGCTGTCGGCCGGCGTAAGCTGTGAGTCGCTATTTATCAAAACCGGTGCGCTTTGCAATTGCCTAACAACTCGATAGTTTGGTGGGAGGAGCCGCTTCCGGTTACCAAGGCGCAGACGGTTATGCCGTTGCGTCTAGTTCCAATTCTGGCTCTGGCTTTGTCAAGGGCGAAGGCGGGATTAAAGGGGAGGAGACCGCATACGGCGCTTCGGGCATCATCGACAACAGTAGAATCAATGCCGACATGCTCTATAATTACGTCGAAGTGTCGGACGAAGAAGATCGCGCCTCGATTACCTCGACTAAGAAGATGAAGAAGGCCGTTTTGCCCATGGGTATCCGACGAGTGGAACACAAGGACGAGGGGGTGACTATGACGACCGCGGCGGAGATTGAGGCGCAAGAAAAGGCCGGCGCCGTCGAAACGGACTCGGACGAAGAAGGTCTCTTTGTGGGGGGTTCTACACAAGTTGAAGATTTCGAAGAACCAGCCCAGGAAGAGGGCGCCCGGGTGGTTGTGCAGACACGCAAAATCAAGCAGGAAGAGCCCGAGAGCGGTGCGATGGACTTGGACGAGATCCCAGAGGGTATCAAAGCACCCGAGTCCCCCGAGATGAAGAAAAAGGCGCTGGTGAACGAGCAGAAGCCTAAGAAGCTGCTGGCTGGGCCAAAGGATACCGAAGCCGAGATCCTCACTGAAGATCTCCAGCACATGATCGATTTGTTTACCCTCCAGGGCGATGGCACGCTAGCCGAAGATGGAACAACAAACAACGCCGCGCTCGAAGGCCACATGTTCCTCTTTCAGTTCCCACCGGTGCTTCCGCCGCTACGGGTCGTCCCCCGTGACGGCACGTCGGCCAACCCAATCTCGGTAAAGCCGGAACCGAACGATGATGTCGATATGCTAAATCAGCCTCCGGTGAACATTGACCTCACCCAAGACAAGGATGATATGGCCAAGAAGGAAAGCGACGGCGGCGGCGAGGATGCTGGTGAGGACGAGGAAGGTGGTGATGAGCTTAAGGAAGGGGGTTTCCTTGGCAACCTGACTGTGCGCAAGTCCGGCAAGGTCGAGCTCAGCTGGGGCGGGCAGAAGCTGGAGCTGATGCCAGGCATTCAGACCAACTTCTTGTCGACGGCTGTGCTAATTGAGCAGGCGGATGTCAAGCCTGGCGACGCAAGCCAGATGGACGGTGTTGCGTATGGTATGGGCAAAATCCAGGGGTTGTTTTCACTCGCGCCAGTTTGGGGGGATGAAGAAGACTGGGAAGTGGATCCCAAAGATTTGGGGATCCCTGAGTAGTGGAGGGAAGACAAGAAGGGGCTTGTTGGTCGCTTTGACCATAGCAAGAAGGGTTGATATCGAAACGGTCCGTGTTGGGTATCGTGTCTGAGTATAGCGGAAAAGACAAAGGGCTACCAAAAGCGCATAGACGGATAGTATATGGATTAGATACCCAGATTCAAGCTCACGGGGGATCGGTTTGAGCAGAACCGACAGTTCCATTACGCTCCAGCTCTGCATTCTGATCTATCGTTGCCATGTAAAGTTGTGTCTCTTAACAGGAAACAACCGGCTGCGGTCACCCGAGACACCCCCGCGTTTCCCGGTGGTCTCGGCATTTCCTCTTCCCCCCACATTCCATTGCCGCATAAATACCTACCTAGGCAACAAGACAACTCTCCATTTCGAGACGGAACTTGGCACCGGTTACTACGGCTATTGACACGCCTTTGCAAGGAAACCTAGAAAACATTTGTCCAAGGGAGAGGAGTAATTTTACTGGCGCGTGTTTTAAGAAGTTGCAATCGTCGACTTCTACAAGTGGTTCCTTACGGACTACCTAAGGCTGTCCGTTAGTTTGCCAAATTATACCTTGAGCACCGGCAAAATGGGTGTACAAACCGACTCGAAGGAGGGCATACACCTCATCATCATCGGCGCCGGTCTAGCTGGACTGAGTGCCGCGCTATCGACCAAACTAGCAAACCCAGCACATCGAGTAACGGTTCTGGAGGCTGTGAACGAGCTCCAGGAGGTCGGAGTAAGCCACACACACACACACACACACACACACACACTGTCACCCTCATCAACCCCCCAAACCAAGCCGACCCAACCCAACCTGACCCAGCTTAACCCAAGAACGCCCCCACCCACTAACTAACCACCCCAACCCCCTCCCAGGCCGGCCTCCAGCTCACCCCCAACGGCACGCGCCTGCTCAAGGCCTGGTCGCTGGACGAGCGCCTGGCACCACTCGCGGCCGTCCCGTCCTCGCTCTCGATGCGGCGGTACGACGGCAGCAAGCTGCTGGCGCATGAGGCGGACCTGCAGGGGCAGATGCGGGCGCGCTACGGCGCCGGCGCCCCCTTCTGGGACCTGCACCGCGTCGACCTGCAGCAGGCCATGGTGGCGCGGTGCGAGGCGCTCGGCGTCGAGATCCGCCTGGGCTCGCGCGTGGTCGCGGTCGATTTCGCCGAGGCCCGCGTGCGTCTGGCCCAGGGCGGGTTGGTGCTCCGCGGGGATGTTGTTCTGCTCGCGGATGGGCTGTGGAGTGCTATCCGGCCGGCGTTTTTGGGTCGCCCGAGTCCGGCCGTCCCGACGGGGGATCTGGCGTATCGGATTACCATCCGTGTGGACCAGTTGGAGGGGGAGGATGCGGAGGAGCTGAGGCGGTTTATTAGGGACGCAACGGTTAACTTCTGGATCGGGCCCCGGTCGCATTGTGTTGGGTACTCGGTGCGGGCCGGGGAGATGTATAATTTGGTGTTCTTATGTCCGGATGATTTGCCCAAAGACGTGGCCAAGCTGGAGGGAGATATGGATGAGATGAGGGCGAGGTTTGGGGGGTGGGATCCGTTGCTTGGGCGGTTCTTGAAGCAGGTAAAGGGGGTGGTGCACAAGTGGCGCTTGATGTGGCTGGATGCGTTGCCAGAGTGGACAAATAAGGAGGGGACATTTTTCATGGCGGGGGATTGCTGTCACCCGATGTTGCCGTATCTGGCGCAAGGGGCGAACTCGAGTCTCGAGGACGGCGCTGTGTTGGGATCGCTGCTAGGAAGGGTAAGGAAGAGCGAGATGGCGAAGCAGTTGCCAAGTGTGTCGGTGCTATATCAGAAGTTGAGGAGAGAGAGGGGGAGAAAGATCCAGCTCGAGACGTTTAAGCAGAGGGACGATTCGCACATGGAAGACGGAGAGGCGCAGGAGAAAAGGGATGCCCTGATGGTGAGCATGCTAGGCAAGGAGCTCAAGGCCCCATTCCCGAGCCGGTGGACGTGTCCTGAGATCCAACCCTTCTTGTATGGCTATGATGCGTATGCGGAGGCCGAGAAGGGATACCGGGAGAATCCTTTTTGATGAGTAGACGATGATATTATTTGACAGGATCCCTTTGGGGAATCAGGGAGCAAGCAGATACTTTCCGCAGAGATATACTAGCAACGAGATCCTTTGATCTCTCAATGCCGATTCGTCGTCAAGATGGGGTACGGCCCAATGGTAACGATGAGCTGTCTTACATCGACCCATTCATCGGTGAGACATGTTCCCAACCCCATGTCTCAGATTATGAACCCCTCGCAAGTCATCTCAGATCTTTACCCACAGCTTGAACCCCACCACAGCGCACCTCGTCGCCGCGAACAACACCGACGCTAGCACGATCACTATTCCAGCCCAGATTTGCGCCCACAGATAGCGCCCCTCAGATTTATCAATAATGGCACCGGCCGTCGGCGGCCCCGCAAGCGAAGCGAACGCTACGACGGTACAGACCATACCGAACCGCGTCCCCATTTTCCTCGGGTCCTTAGTCAAACTAGCTAATGAGCCAGCAAATAACCCTTGGGCGGCACCCACTGAAAGGCCGAAGAAGACCGAGAACACATACATCCCCGTCCGCGTGGTTACACCGGTCCACGCAAAGATCAAGCACCCCAAAACCAGCGTCTGAAAAGCATACAGGTTGATGGGCCCAAAGTATCTGTCGGCTAGATAGCCCGTCACCGGCCTACTCGGCACGCTCATGCCGTTTGTGATGAGGAGGAGCTGGACCGAGTCCGTGGTTGAAAAGTGGATGATGTTGCGGGCGTAGGCGTTGATCTAGGAGTAGTAAGTATTCTACACTCTTCTGCAAGTTCAGTGAGCATACTTACGTAAAAGAAGCCAAAATAAAGCGCCCAGAAGAAAAGGAAGGCCCCAAGCATGTATAGTAGATACGGCCCTTCTTTGAATGCCTCCCACTCGATAATAGGCCCCGATTTTCTCGGCTTCAATTTCGGTCTCAGCATTAGAACCGAGACCATCGACACGAACAACGCCACGAAGGCAGCGCATCGGACTGCCCACGGGAACCCAATTCGCGGGATAAGGTACTGGATCGTTGCGGGAAAGATGACACTCCCCAAGCCGGTCCCAGTCGCCGAGATGGCGAGCGCCGAGGATCGTTTTGTCACAAAGTACGAATTGATGACGGACAGCGGAGGCATGAAGATGATGCCCAGGCCCAACCCAGTACACAATCCCTGGGCGAGGAAAATTTGCCAGTACTCCTTGCAAAGACTCGTCATGAAGGTCCCAAACACAACCATCAACGAACCGACAATGATAGTTGACTTTACATATCCGGCGTCTGCTAGTCTCCCAGAGAAGGTGCACATAGCGAAGGCGAGGAAGACTTGTAGGGACCCAATCCACGAAATTTGGGCCTCGGGGAGCTTGAGAGTGTCTCGGTAGTAAAGCTGATATACGCCAAACGTCGACGGGTAACCCCAAGCCATCATGTTGATAAAAATACCGGCCACAACCTGAGACCAAGCAACGAGTCCTCCGTCAGGAGGTTGGAACTCTTCTTCGGCGAAAGGAACGGCGTCTTCGCCCCCTGATACCGAGATATCATCAAGCTGCGAGCGCATTGTGCTTGTGGGAGCAGCTTTCTCGACGTCGGATCCGGAAGTCATGTTGAAAAGTGTCTTGTCGGCTCCCAACACCGAAGCTTTGCGAAGTGGTATCAGCGTGGACGCAGAGAGAGGTTGTCCATGTTCATCCGGAAGGGCCGAGAAAAGAGCATGCAGCGACGGGAGTCTCCTGTTCAAGTCCCGGGAAATCTCCACCGAGAAAGGCTACATCCGGCCTTATTTCCGCCGACATCGCCCTCACTTGGATGTCATCTCCCACGCCTTTTTGGTGGGCCCGACCCGTGCCGACCAACCTCCCGACAGCAAATCGCGGACCGACGCCTTGTTCCCCGCAGCCCGGTTGCATGACAGCCAAAACCGCACAAGGAAGATGCGAGCCCATCGTAGCCCGCCCCTTCGACAAGGTGGTTTGCGCAGCGTCCGTGGGTTCTGGGGGCCATATCCGAAAAGAATCCCGGGAGGATCCAGCAACCCAACAGGCCTGCCCGGCCGCACCAGCGATGACGGCGGCCGAGTTGAGTCAGGGTTTGGCTGATTTTGGCCCAGGGTTAATTCTACCCTGGATCGGCTGGAATGCAAAAACCACAAGGTGCCCTCTTCGTCGCTATTGCGTGTCCTTGGGTAATCAAAGGTTTATCAAAGCCATGGAGAAGAATAAATCCGCGCGGCGCATGGGCATCGGCCGACTTCGACATGGAAACAACTTTCCTCTTGATGTTATGGTGGCAAAGATTTCCGCCGCACCCGATTCGACAAGTCCCCACTTGAAGGGTGGGATTGAGAAACGGTGGGCATGAGTTAGTTGCAAAACCCCCCATTGGGTTTCCCATGACTGCAGAAAATGATAAATCTTCAGCAGAGCAAAACAACATAGCAAAACTGTCGCAACAACTCGCCTCTGACTCTCTGTGGATGACAAGTCGGTACGAAGTACACTTTAACAACTTCGCAGCGGGCCTTGGCACAGGCGCTCTTTGTCAAACGAACAGGGATGATGGGCGCACCAATTCGAATAGACTGTGAAAGGAGGAACGAGAAACCGATAGTTAACAGGCGGTGAGCACGGAAATGGGCTAGCATCCCAGCAGAATGCAACACCCAATGTGCCAATGCCAAAACCCAACCGGGTCTCGCCCGAAATCCATGACCCAACCAGGCAGACCGCCAATCCAGTCAAGCTCAACCCCCGCCAGCTGTCCACAACCGCCACTCCTCTCAAATAGCCCCACCAGCAAAACTGGGTTCCCAACAAACGAGCCGATGACCTTCCAGCCAATGACACAACACTATTTCATCACATCTGATCGGAAAGGGAAGGCGCCGGGGCCGCTTCCCGCCCCACACCAACCTGGAATGCGACAGAAAAAAAGCACGGCACAAACAGACGTGGCACGCAAAAGACGGAAACACAAACATACTGAAACAGTCTAAGGCTTGCCCAGAAACAGGAAATAAGTGCATGGCAGGTAAGCGAACCCCGCAGAATCGACATCGCCACCAAGAAGAATCAGCTCCTCGCCATTCGACCCGAGCCGGCTGGCCTGCTCGCCTCGTCTCGTCGTCCTTGAAGCAGAAGGAATTTAGAAGACGACAGAAGCGACCGACCCCACCTTTTGCATCCCATTCCGATCCGCCCGTAGGCGCTAAGCCAAATTAAGGATAGCGCAAAAGTTTGTTTAAACGGACTTGACGACTTGAAGGCTCAGTGCTGGACAGGCGGCGGTACTGAATGTCAAGCGGGACAATTGGTGATATGAAGGAAGAGAGTAAGGCTGCAGGTAAATTTCAGGGTTGAGAAGTCGTCTTGGTGATGTGTAAAACGTGGAATTCATGAAACAGGATCTGAGATCATGGATGTGCCAAGCCCCGCTTCCGCGCGGGTTGGAGCGGGCAAAGCCAGGCTCCCGCAAGGGGCGATTCAGCGATTGCGCGATGGTTATTATGATTCAACCTCACATACTCGGAGTCTGGTTTTGGAATTCCAATTTCGCTGCTCAAGGAGGGTAAAGTACACCGAAGCGTTCAAAAGCTAGATTGAAGACATATCAGCCTTCCCTGCTCTTCCTTCACCTTTACTCCGGACGGACGCCGCCAGCCCGTGGACAAGGAGCAAAGACAAGCCTGCGCAAAGCCATAGGAGCAACCAGTGACACCCCCGTCACCCAATTCCACATATATCAACAGACTGCAGGAATGCAAAGGAAGAAAGATCCAGTGTCGCAAAAGCAATCCCGCAGTTAACCCTGTCAACGCTGTGCCTGCATTGCCTTATCGCCCCAACCCCTGGATGCCTGTTTGCCTGCCGCCCCATAAAACGACCATTGCTGTCTCTGCTAGCCCTGAATTCAATACAGCACACTCCGGGATGTGACTTGGAAACCATCTCTCCATCTCCTTTCCTGCGATTGCCCATTTCATTCCAGGCGAGTGGGTGACCAGGTGATGCTAATGCAAACGACAGAAGGATTTGGTAGATTCCACCGACGCTGACATGCCTGCCAGTCGTGTATAGCGGGCATGTCTGGGTCGGTGCCTAGCGCTGGGGCAGCGTTGGAAATTCCGTTGCTTCTGACCGCCTTAGCGAGCGACTGACGCTGAAAACACACAAACCATGAAATTTGAAATAGGGGCATGAATCGAAACAAATGCTGACAAAACAGAAAATCACTCCGTTTCAAATGCTGCATGATTTCTGGCGGAAAGGAGTGAATGCCAATCCTTAGATGTTGTCTGGTATGTCGTACTCGAGTTCTCCTAAGGTCTGGTAACGATGACCGCCGTTCCAAGCCTCATCTTGCTCAGATTGGGCAAAGGGTGGGGGCTGGGGTAAAAGCACCGGACTTTCTAATTTAAAGAGACGGGGCTTGCTTCCCTGAGACCCTCTAGAGAGTTGCCGTTGCCGATTAGTGTTTTTAGCGGCGCCTGTTCTACCGTTTCCGCTTTTTATTCTTGTCGAGCAGACTCGGCGCCGACATGGCAAGTGCGAGAGTATCGGGAGCGATTGGTGCGGCGGATAACAAGTTCGTAGCTGGGGGTGGCATGTCATTCTTGACAGGAACGCCCATGTGTCGGCCGTACCGGCCCTTACGCCCGTTTCCCTCGTCTTCACTAATGCAGAGCTCCGCGGGAATGCCGGCATCCCGGCACCTGCCGCAAGGACGTTGTCTGTCGCACCCCTTTTTACTTTTGCGACAACGCTGGCACCGGGGTTTTGTTGAGAGGTCCGGTTGTTCTTCCTCGCCCGGGACCAAAGTAAAGGCTGGGTTGGAGACAATCGACTGCTTTCGAGACGCGGGGAGCGAAGCCGGTGTCATGGGGCCGGTGATGCTTGAGGGCTTCTTCGCCTTCGGCTTGCCGGGCTTGGAGATCTTGGTTTTGTGTGGCAATTGCGGACGAGGCTTGGAACCGACCAACGTGTTGGCCCTGAGCTTACCACCTTTCCCCGTGGGCGCAGCCATTGACCCGTTATCAGCACCATCCGAGCTGTAGGTGTCCTCGCCACTGTTATCGGTATTGTCCCTAGGGCCGGCAAAACGGCTTTCGGTGACATTAAAGACGCCCTTGTGGTCGCTGGGGGTGTCTGGATGTCGTTTCCGTGCGGCGGGCATGTCATCCTCGCCACAACTATCGGCATCACTAGTCGCGCCCGTGGAGGATGCCGCATCAGCTCTTCCGCTGAATGTATCATCCTGGGTCGACCCGGAAGCCCGGCCATGTGTAGACATCCGCATTAGCTGCATGGCAACGTCCTTGTCTTCTTCGGAGACGGCGCTGCGCACAGTCGGTTCGGGCGTCGGCATGACTGAACCATCTCCCTGTCCGGACTGAAACTCAAAGCTTCCGCGGCTTCGACGGTTGTCGCTGCTGGGGGTGGCGTACATTCCAGAGTGTTGAAATCCGTTGGCGTATGCCCGCGAGGATTGAAGCGGGAGAGAGTTGCTGAAGGGATTCTGTCCAGGCTGAATAAACGGTAGCGGCGCTCGATGAGAGTCTGCACGACGGGCTGGCGAGACGGAAGGATTCGAGGTCGCGGCGGGCATTTGGGGGGGGGCAAATAGAGGCAATTCCTGTGCGGGAAGGCGGTCAGTAATGAGAAGCTATGGAACGTCAACAAGCAGCGAACTGCTTACCGAGCTCTCAAACTTGGTACGCTTGCGACGGCCGCCTTCGACGATGTTCTCGACGCTGATGTCGGTGTTCCCCAGCTGCTCTTTAGATCGGCTGGATGAGCCAGCGCCGTCACCACTGCTGTAGCCACTGAAGCTATCGCTGTGTCCATCACCGTTCGTTTGGACGCGGTTCTTGGAGGAGCGTGACCGCCCCTTCTTACCAGCGATGGGGTTTGCACCTGTCGAATTGCTGCGGCGCCCACGCCCACCATTCGGAGACGGGCTACGCACGCGTGATGTCCGGGACGTGGGCCGGGGCACGTTGCTGTACCCCTGGACCGGGTATGTATCGGTGTTGAGGCGTCTCTGCGCACCAGCAAGAGCGGCGAGGAATTCAGGCCCAAGAGGCTGGTCGATAATACGCACACGTACTACCATGTCCCCTTTGAAATTCTCGTACCGTACGATGATGGTGTTTCCCTGTTCGTCTTCGAAGTTGAGGCCCTTAGAAAGGTTTGGGTAGAGGCCCCAGAAGCTTATGACAGTTGAGATGATAGACTCGGTGGTGTCATGAGGGTAGATAGACACGCGGAGAGGCAAGCGCGCTTGGTATGGTGGCTCTTGGATTACGAGAAGGAATTGAACTGTCTTGGGCGCCGCGACGGTGTGAGGGGATACACTTTCGCTGTGCAATCCCGCAAGCGCGGCTCCTCCCCCGTTTGGGGACATGCCAGCCATACCAGTCATAGCTTGCTGGGAGGCACCAAAATGCATCGTATAGTTTATAGGGGAGGGGTATAGCCGGGTGGTGGGCCGGAAAGCGGTGTCGAGTCGAGGCGGTGCGGTTGGGGTCGGGGTCGGGGTCTGAAATTGCGTGGGCGAAGTCGATTCGCGGGCGAACAACTCCATTCCAGGCCAATAAAGCTGGAATGGCAACGTTCCGGAGCCGACAAACGGCGCCGGCTTCGGGGCGAAGTGAGGCCGGTCGTTTCCGGGTTGGGCCGTGGGAGGTCAAAGGGTCGGGTGTATGTATGTGTGGGTGTGCCTGTGTGTGTGTGTGTGTATGTGTGTGTGTGTGTCTGTGTGCGATTCGAACGGCGAGGTAAGAATTATTATTGCAGCGGGAACCTGTGGGTGGGCCGTAGACGTTAGACTTGAATAATCGAAGGTAAGAAGGTGAAATTTATATCTCTGCAAAGATGTGTTGCTCAGATGCTCGAGCAGGCGGAGGAGGGGAAGGGGTAGAGGTGCTGTCTGCAGTGGTCGGGCCGGGCGCATGGAACCAGGACCGCCTCTGTGGTTGGAACAACGGGATCGGGGAAGCATGAAAGGGACGGACAAATATGGCACTGTGACCTCGATCGCATGTGACAAGAGGACTTGAATCACTTACTGGGAAGTCTAGAAAGCGGTGGTGTCGGTTGGGAGATAGGTGGGATCTCGAGGTTCACGCACACAATTCCGACCGGAGAGCTGGGCTGAAGCAACGGTGAGCGACAGGGCCGTAGACGACGAACGTCGAGCAAGGTGTTGGGAATAGGCGGAAGTAGCAGGTAAAAAGCGGAGGATGCGAGATGGCAATGACTTACCAGGCGGATCCGGGGCGGTTTGATGGTTCGAGTCGGGCAATTCGAAGGTTGTGCGTGAAGAGAATGGAGGAGTAGCAAGATTCTGCATTAAAAGGCGGATGCCGGTAATCGCACACCACGCACTATACACGCTACTGGGCTTGCGCCCAATCCCGAAACTCGACACTGTGCCACGGTGCAACGGCCGTCGCTTTCACACCGGAATTCAAGCCAAGCGACATCTTTTGGCAGATATCGCACCCTATATCTATTTAGCTAGCCTCTCCCCTCTTACTTGATATGCGTCAAGCTACATCTTCGGGGTGCTTTCCTTGGTCGCAACCTCTTTTGTGATCTTGCGCCGACAGTTGGGGTGGAGATGGGTCCCAGTTTTCCGCACGGTCAACACAGCGCTTGCATCTATCCGCATCGCCAGCACCACCATCACCCTGCCTGGTCAACCCATGTCGGGCCGCCTCAAAATGGGCTTAAAGTAATCCTCCAGGCCTGCAGGACTCAGCAACAGTTGTCATTGGGAGCCGCTGGTTCGCCAGGATGTGGTGGGAGTGGGAGTGATTCTTAGCCCTTAAACATTGTATTGAGCGCAATCTCGTCGCATTCCTCTTTGCGCGAGCCTCTGGGATTTAGCGCAAACGGAAGACACAGCAGCAATCGAAGACCGGCAGGCTTTCCACGGCTACCGGGTTTCGGCGCAACTCTCTCACACAGTACGAGCATGCGTTTAATAAGACGCGCAAAGATATCCCCGGCAATCCCCTCGAGGCTGTGCGCTAAAGTCACCGGTCCTGAAGGGAGGGGGAGACGACGCTACGGCCAGCGGCTTCTAGCCAAGCGCGAGAGGATAAGGATGTGTCTCCTTTAGAAAGCCTAGATGCGGCTGCGCGCTGTTTCCTCCGAGTGGTTGACGGGCTTCCGCCGGCGTCCCTCGCGTAGGAAAGGGCAGATGCCCTCAGCTCGACCCCAGGCCCAAGACCGTGCACGAAGGCCTAGCTAGGGAGCGGTTCGGTTTTAGGTCGCGCCACCAGCGGCCAAAACTCGATTGTGTTCGGATGGCCTGAGAAGGGCAATGCGACTCGATCGATTGCTTTGGGCACACGACACACTGCGCCAGAACTCAAGGCCGATGCGACAGAACTGCCCCCGGCTTCTGTGGAAGGTGGAGCCAAATCTCAGCCAATGACAAAATTGGTTGCGGGGCTAATAGACAAGGGTTTCCATTGCGCTGCTGCCCGGGTGCCTGGGTGTACACAGGGTGCATACCTAAGTTGGCAACGCAGAGGGGGAGACGGGGTTCATCTTGCAAAAAGGGCTGAGAAGATGAATGGTCTGGGGGAATTTAGGTGCAATGACGTTGCTAGGACGGAGGAGGGTCTGCGCACGAAGGACAGGCTGCTCGGAGTTGAAGATAAGCGGCCGAGAGGGTCCTTCCGGGGGTACAACGGCTGCCCGGTGGCGGTCGCCAATGGCTGTCGCTAATGACTTCGGAGGGAATAATGGGTAACGAGTAGCGGCCAGTAAGCTGTAACTACACAGGAGGGTTGTTTTGGGCGCCGTTTTGAGGCGGGCTCGCAGCTGCGCAGCCAGCTTTGACCTGGCCGGTCTAAGAACAGAGAGGATGGGGACGCGGCTCGATGCGCTGGCAGGGTTTCAAATGCGACACGGCGTCGAATCAGCTCCCCGAGTCTGCAAGTCGACCATCAACGACGGAACCCGCCTCTTTTAACCTAAGAGCGACCCTGTGGCTGCCGCGGGGACTGCCCAAGTTCACCACTCGTGGGCCGCAGTTGCTTCAATGGTGCGTCTCCACCGAGCTGCAGATTGCAGGTGAGCGATCAGTCCTTTGTGCATCGGCGGTGGCGGGCATGCTTTTGAGACTACATGCTGCTTGCCCACCTTGACGTTTTGGAAGGATCCCTACCTTGCCTACCAAGCCGTTGGCGGGAGACGCCTCGCAATGGGCGCTTCAGGTGCTGGGCACGAGCTGGGTTTCCCACGCCCGCTCTATTCGTATCCTTGCCCGTTTTGAGTCACAGATCTGCGACCCACCGCTCGCCTGATCTGCCGGCTTTTGTCACAGGGGATTGCGGTTTGTAAAAATGCTGTCTGTCGGCCTCAAGCCCACTGACCGCCAGCTATGTACATACGAAGTCCAGAGTCAAGCTGCGTTTCACTGGGTTGTTGCACTACTCCATGCTGGAGGAACGAAGCTACGGAATTTTGAATCTCTGCTTGCCCTGTCGGCAATGGCGAGCACCGCTGATGTTCCCCGCCCTGTTCGAACGGCACCGAGGTGCAGCTGTGGAGGCTGCATCCGACAAACCCGCACCTTAAATACCGGAGTTTTCCACGGGCTGCCTTTGGATACCTACTTGAGCAGGGGGGTGAAGTTCAAAGTTTTACCTCATAAACGCAAAGGTAAGCATACATAACCAGCTATACGAGTTTGTTGGAATTTGTCTCTTGGGTTCTGGAGGTTGATGATGAGGCGATGCTCCCTCCTGAGAGGCTCAGGCTTTGTTGTCGAAACAGCCCCGCTCACACATGCGGCCGCTCGTCGCGCCGCAGGCGTCCTTCGGTCAAAACATCATAACATCGCGCTATTTCAGGCTGCGCTCGCCATCTCACTGGTCGGTTTTTTTCTGGGCCGCCAGAAACGGTCTGTCCCCACCACGCGTATGCTGTCGAGCCCTGATTTCCCGGCGAGGACGGTAGTAATCGCTGGAATAAGCCGAAGGTGCGGGGATAATTGTTCTCACACACAATCGGCTCCGCAACTGGTGAAGTTGAGCCTGAGAGGGACTTGGTCCAAGGTGGGTCGTACAGTTAAATCCACCACGTGACAGCGCGACAAAGTGGTGTTCTTGAATCCCTGTTAATCACGTCTTGGCAACGAGAAGAAAGTTTCTCGGCTTTTGCATCTTGAAACTGCAAAACATCTGGTATTGCAGAACAGACTCGTCCCCGGGTTGTTGAGGTATCTGTGAGGATAATCAAACAGATGAATACCAAAAAATGCCACAATTGTGGTGTGGAAGACCTGTTGGTTCTCTGAACAGTGTCTGCAGTTGACGCGACGGTGAAACTGCCCCACAAGTTTAAACAAATAAGCGGGGTTACACCGTCCCAAATTGGGTAGAAGAATGCGCCGGCGCAACGCCCAAGCAACGGCCCCCAGGGTTGGCACAGACATTTACCGCAGCGATTCACGAACTGTTTACCCAGCCCTGTCACGACGTAAACAGAAACCGCAACGCACTGAGAGAGGTCAGAAATTCGTCGCCCGAAAAGATTGGCTCTTCAATTCCGCCACTTTTCCTTCCCTCTCCGGCGCGCAACAACAACCAGGCAGAGAAGGCATCACTATTGCAAGGCTATCGGTCATACTTCCCCATGTATGCGCTCGAGCGTTAGTTGATGCTAGGCGCGCAGTCTTGACCGCGTCAATACTTTGCGAATAGAGCTTCTTTCCGTCTTCGTTACGTTAGCAGCTCGCCTTGTCGACTCGACGCGGTCAGCAGGCCTTGCGGACCCCGGGACAACACCAAACATTCCCAACAGCATTGGACCGCGTTTCCGATTCCGGATCGCGAAAATAGATTTTCCTCCAGCAACTTCTGGCATTGTCTCATTGCCCACACCGTCGTGGACTTGAGCTGCCTGGCGCCAGTTGGCAGCTTGACAAGCTTTGCGCGCGACAGTCACGCAAAGCTGAGAGACATATTCAGAGTCTAGCAACATCGTTCAGGCCCAATCCGCTCCTACAAGATGGACGCGAAGGTGAGACTTTTCCTTCCATGTGACCCCCGCTGCCCAATTACCCCCCCCTCCCCCCCCCATCACGCTCTTGTCCTAAACTTCCGACCCCCATGTCCCCCAATACACGCGAAAGCCCTTCCTGCGAAAATCTCATCAATCTATTGATCCATTGAGCGAGGATTTTGATACCACAATTGGTAGCAAAAAAGACTAACCTGATTACTCACCCAGCCCCAGCGCCCATTGCGCGCTGCAGTACCCGTTTCCGGTAACGAAAACACCGTCCCCTCCAAACAGTCTGTCCATCACCACAGCAAGTCGGTCGGCAACCTCAAGGCAATGGCGTCGACCGGCGCGCTCAATGCGCCACCGAAGCGAACGGCCTTTGGCGACGTGAGCAACACGGCTAGAATCCGTGTTGGCGATCCCATTGGTAAGGCTGCCAACAAGGAACCCAGCAAGACTCGCGCCAAGCCGGCGACGAAGGCGGTTAACGCCCGCGGCACTCGACTTGGGGACAAGGAAAATACGAAGGGCGGCATCAAAGAAGGCCGGGCTAGAACAGCTGTCGCGCCCAAAGGGACCGGCCACAGTTCCAAGTTTCAGCAGAGCGCCCCCCCTCAAGCGGCAAACCCTGGGCCGCGCGTTGGTTTGCCCGTTCAGCAGCACGCTGGTGCTTCACTGGCCCAACCTGCCCTGCGGACCGGCGCCTCGAAGAAGGCAGTCAGCATCTTCAAAGACCCACGGGAGGAAATTGCGAACATTCGTCCTGAAGTGGCATCTCTGATCGATGACATCGCCGATCTGGTGAAGAAACCGGCTAAGGACCCGCGCCAGCACAAGAGCCAGCCATCGCTCCGGATCGAACATCAGAGTAACCGACAACATGCCAAGTTCCTCGCCCAGCCTGACAATGTGACTGATGTTGAGGAGGAAGACGACATTGACGACAATGTGACCGAAGCGGCTTATGAAGACGCTGTCGAACAGATGCCCCAAGGCGCCGGAAATGGTGTTCGCAGCGCGCTGGCCGCGATGGAGCAAGCGAACTGTAGGACTCTGTACCGCGACGAGCAAGACGCGGTTGCGCAATCGAAAGCACTTCCCGACTTACCTTTGGCGGCAGACTTGGAGGAGTATTGGGATGACGAGGAAGAGCAGGAGCTCTATGACGAACAGGGTTATACTACAGCGCACTCGTACCGGTCGCACGGCGATAACACGACTAGCGGCACCACAACTTTGCTGGCGCCACATGCGACGGCCAGCGACGAAGAAGAATTCGACATGGCGAAGGCGTATGTTGTGGACCATCAGACCGAGGAGGAGATTGAGGAAGAAGCGTGGGACGTGAGTATGGTTGCCGAGTACGGTGATGAAATTTTTACGTATATGCGGGACCTCGAGGTATGTTTATCCTTCCCCCCCGGCCCTCCTCCATCTGCCCTGGTGTCTTGGGCCACCAGACCTTGAACTTCGCTGACGTTGGCATGTAGGCACGAATGCTTCCAAACGCCCATTATATGGACGATCAAACCGAGATACAGTGGTCAATGCGCTCGGTGCTTATGGACTGGCTCGTTCAGGTTCACCACCGATTTTGCCTTCTTCCGGAAACCCTTTTTCTTACCGTCAACTACATTGATCGCTTCCTCTCCGTCAAGGTTGTCTCCTTGGGAAAGCTCCAGCTCGTTGGTGCCACGGCTCTTTTTGTGGCAGCCAAGTATGAAGAGATCAACTGTCCGTCGGTTCAGGAGATCGTCTACATGGTGGATTCGGGCTACAGCGTTGATGAAATTCTCAAAGCTGAGCGTTTTATGCTGAGCATGTTGCACTTTGAACTTGGGTGGCCCGGTCCGATGAGCTTCCTTCGCCGGATCAGCAAAGCGGATGACTACGATTTGGAGACCCGGACTCTGGCCAAATACTTTCTGGAGATTACCATCATGGACGAGCGCTTCGTTAGCAGCCCTCCCAGCTTTCTTGCGGCTGGCGCTCACTGCATCTCTCGCCTGTTCTTGGGCAAAGGAGATTGGGTAAGATTACACTCTATTGGGATGAACCAGTAACGCTGACCAATACCTAGACGCTCGCCCATGTCCATTACTCCGGCTACACTCTTTGCCAATTGAAGCCGCTCATCAAGATGCTTTTTGAGTGCTGTCAAGATCCGCGGAAGCACCACGGCGCCGTCTATGACAAGTACTCAACGCCCAAATACAAGCAATCATCGACATTCGTTGAAAGCAAGATTGCAAACGGGCTCGCGTTATCCCAACTGTATGCCGGACCCCTTCAACGAGGCACACCATCTGTTACTGGGAACGGCATGCTTGGACTTGGCCAGTACAAAGTTTCCAACGCCCCCATCCACGTTCAAGCTTAGCCAAACCCTGCCATAAGCCGGCATCTTGCGACAATCTTTTACTCGTCTTCGATGTACAGTCTTATACCCAGCACATCTCTGCTGGAGCACGGCTTTACTGCCCTCCGAGGGGCTGTTCTTTTCTCCTCTTTAGCGCCATGCCGCTGCGCATTTCCTAATCTTTTACAACTGGCGGATCTTCACGGCAGCAGGTTTTTTTCTCCGTCCTGTACTCGCCCATACCTGACGGTCATACAGGCGATGTTGACCTCGCTGTTGCTATGGCTCACCGACAACTGTTCTTGCGCATCGTATCCTCCAGTCCACTTCGCCCGGGCCCATTCCCCGAGTAACGCGTGGTCGGGGTGGAGCTAGCTGGTCGTTTTGGTTACTGGATATTCCAGGATCCGGTGTTTCTACTATCTACACAGTACACGACTCACGCAAGTCACAACAAAAAACGGCGGAGGTACAACGGGCAAAGGTGCTCATGACGAATTAATGCGACCACGAATTTTTTTCCTTTCTTTTTTCTTACGATCCCTTGCCTGGACATCCACGTTTGCTGGATTTTGAGCCAACGGCACCAAGTTATTGTCTGTGGGAAGGATCAGGAGGCGAGGCTTTCTGGTGGGCGTCGGGACGGCAATATTTGCACTCGGAATAGTAATGGGGGGTAGTCATGGCTGAATGATGACGAGGGCATTCAGCGACGTGACAGGATGGCGTTCTGGCGGAACAGGGGGTAGGGGCGGTCCTTTGTGGTGTGCTTTATAGAAGGCTACATGTATAAGTATTATTTCGCTACGGGTCATTCTGGCGGCGGAATCTCGTTATCTTCCTTTTTCCACGCGAGATGGAGAATACTTGGGCATGTCGGGGCGATCGTTTGACGCTCTGACAGCATAGTTATTAGCAATAGAGATGGTAGACGAAATGCTTCACCCATGAGGTAATCATTAAGGAGATGGCATTGTAATTGGTGCGCATCCCATCTTCCTGGGTCGTCTTATCGTTGATCGCCAGGAACAAGCTTTTGGGGTTGGGGACCCTGAATCCCCCACCATTCGGGGCTCTGCCTGATTACGTAACTGTGGCCCGTCTCCCCATCATCGGAGCAGCACGGAGCGCATCGGTCGGGATCTCGGGGTGCGGGGGCAACCGAGCCAATTTCTTCTCGGCTAATGTGTCCCTGGCTGCAGCCGCGTGCCAAGACATGTCTGACGGGTCCCCCACTGCAACCTCGGGCCTGCGAGACCGGATTGGACGGGCGATTGAAAAAAAATAGCCTCCAACGATTTCGGCGCCTCAGCATAGTGATCAGTCAGGGTGTCCTCTCTCTTCAACCCCAGTGTCAGATCCACTTTCTCACGAGACCGACTGCTCCAGCCTCGCCAATTCGGCAGACCTGTCCTTCTCGGTGCGCATTGAGAGGGGAAGCCGTTGGCATCGTGTGAAGTAGCAGCGGGATTCATTCTTTTCTGTCCGCGCCAAGCAAACCACGCCGCGTGGGAGTTCTGATCTTTTTTTCCCTCACTGCTTTTTAACGCCGCTTTGCGACATCTAAGCCCCTCCATCCCATCCCACGGAGCGCCGATCTTCGCAGTCCGTCCTCCTTCCCTGACAAGCGCCGCCAACAGACAGCGAGGCAATTTCCTAGACAACTGAGTGTGCGCAGAAGACAAACTAGGACACTATGTCGAAAGCCGCAACCGTCAAGGAGGCCGTCAAGGAGACGCTCGTCGGCTCAACAGAGCCGGAGCAGTACTCGGTGCAAACCAAGGCCCGTTTCAACCGTTATGCTGTGAAGGATCCCGCAACGGGCGAGCTCTACCTCGGCCCGGAGCAGTTCATCGACGCCATCGCCCCGCCTCATGAAGACTACGTGAGTGCCCCGCGGTTGGTCGCATGTTAAGCAAGGCGCACGTAGCTAACATCAGTCCGTACACAGCACAAGATCAAGCGGGAGCAGTACTCGATCTTGTTTCACGTCGCCGACCGGACAAATAAGGGCAAGCTGTCGCTTGCTGACTGGGGATACTTCGAAAACATCCTCAGCAAGCCCGACGCGGAATATGAGATTGCGTTCCGCCTCTTCGACGTCGACCGCCTGGGCACCGTAAAATATGAAGACTTTCGTAACTTGTACGAGCTAAACAAGAGCCCCGACACCATTCCGTTCGACTGGGACTGCGAGTGGGCAAAGCTGTACATTGGCGGCAAAGCAAAGAGGCACAGCATGAACTATCAGCAGTTCTCACAGATGCTCCGCGGCCTCCAAGGCGAGCGTGTGCGGCAAGCCTTCCAGCGTTTCGACGCCAATGGCGACGGATTCATCGAGCCCGAGGAGTTCGCTACCATCATCCAGCAGACGGCCAAGCATAAGCTTTCGGACCATCTGCTCGAGAACCTCCACACCTTGTGCAACATTTCCCAAGGAAGCAAGGTTTCGTATGCCAACGTCCGGGCCTTCCTGAACATGATCAACGAGATGGACTTGGTAGAGCTCATCGTCAGGCGCGCCTGCTCCAAAAGCAAGGATGGCCGCATCACCAGGGCCGAGTTCCTCAACCAGGCTGCCAAGATTACCCGATTCTCGCTCTTCACCCCCATGGAGGCCGACATTCTCTTCCATTTCGCCAGTCTCGACGAACCCTCTGGTCGGCTAGGGCTCAGGGACTTCACCAAGGTGCTCGATGCGACTTGGAGACGGCGCGACGAAGAGGAGGATGCCCGTCCTGTTGGCGCCAAGTCCACAGGGCAAAACTTCCTCGGGCAGGCCCTTGAGTCTGCCTACAACTTTGGTCTCGGCAGTATCGCCGGCGCCTTTGGCGCCTTCATGGTTTACCCGATCGATCTCGTCAAAACACGGATGCAAAACCAGCGTGGCGCGGATCCCGGCCAGCGGCTCTACAACAACTCGATCGATTGTTTTAGGAAGGTGATTCGCAACGAGGGATTCAGGGGCCTGTACTCAGGTGTCCTCCCCCAGCTCGTCGGTGTCGCACCTGAGAAGGCCATCAAGCTGACAGTGAATGATCTTGTCCGCAACTGGTTCACCGATAAGCAGGGCCAAATATGGTGGGGCTCTGAGGTGTTTGCTGGTGGTGCCGCCGGTGGTTGCCAAGTCGTACGTCGTCGTCCCTGAATCCGGATATGTCATGATATTGATGCTGACTGCGTTTCAGGTTTTCACCAACCCATTAGAGATTGTCAAAATTCGTCTCCAGGTGCAGGGTGAGGTCGCCAAGAGCGTTGAAGGCGCGCCGAAGCGGTCGGCCATTTGGATCGTGCGCAACCTCGGTCTGGTCGGCCTGTACAAGGGCGCATCGGCGTGTTTGCTCCGTGATGTGCCTTTCTCGGCCATTTACTTCCCGACGTATTCGCACCTAAAGCGCGATGTTTTCGGCGAGTCACAAACCAAGAAGCTGGGCGTTGTGCAGCTCCTGACGGCCGGCGCCATCGCCGGCATGCCGGCCGCGTATCTCACTACGCCGTGCGACGTCATCAAGACCCGTCTTCAAGTTGAAGCCCGCAAGGGCGACACGGCGTACACAGGCCTTCGGCACGCGGCCAAGACGATCTGGAAGGAGGAGGGTTTCCGAGCCTTCTTCAAGGGCGGCCCCGCGCGCATTTTCCGCTCGTCGCCGCAGTTTGGCTTCACGCTCGCGGCGTACGAACTGCTGCAAACCACCATCCCATTCCCGGGCGGGAAAGGCGAGGCCAAGGGGGTGAGTGGCGTTGCCGAGGCCGTGTCGACTCTCAAGGAAAAGGCCGTCGATAGCCCGTTCTACCGCTCCCGCAACGCGCTCAAGATCCTGCTCGACCTGGACGAGCATTTCGGGCGAACACCGCTTGGGCCGAATTCGCAGGGCTGGAAAGCGTTGCCTGGCTGGATGGGAACAAAGACTGCGTAGGCGGGTGTTTTAATATCGTGCTGCGGTGGCGGCAGAGAAGGCGGCATTGATCTCGGCCGGGCCAGCGGCTTCGGCAATGCAGATCGGCAAGGGCGGGCGGACCTGCAGCCGCACCCATATCCGCCCGCCTGGGTCGGCGATTTACACACATTAGCCAAATAACGCGGCCCGCCAACGACACGCAACACTGTCATCCGATCTTTAATTTCACAAGCGGGAGTGGCATGGATCTTGTCTGCAACCTGCATTGGCATCAGCGATCGACCCGGTAAACGGGTAGACGGCCGTTTCCAAAGACAAGAAGACCATTTGAATGGCATGCATCGCGGCAGCAGGCGTTACCGGATATTTTCCAGGATTGTGATTTCTTTCTCTCTTTTCTTGGGTCGAATCTTGTCTTCTTCCATGTTTTGGCTTTTTGAGCGATTTAGCTGATGAAAAAGGTGATGAGTGC